TGAGTAGGTGTCAGATTAGGATAATGGGATCACTTAACTAGAGACAACAGTGCCACCCACGGAACTTCAGGATCTTTCCCAGATACTGTCTCAAGTACTCGGGTCTATTGGTTAAACTCATAATTAAATGCTGCTAGAAGTTACACTTTATCAAGCACAGATCAAATGCTTATTAAAACTGGAGCCATCAAGCACAGCAATGAAAGATCTCGAAAGTGATTCCTAAAAAAAAAAAAAAAAATAGAGCAGCTCTGATGATCTCGGGTGACTTTAGACCAGATCAGAAGAAACCTGTTCCCCGGGTCTCACACGGAGCGCTCGACCATCTCAGGGCTTGCGGAGGGCCTTGCTTCAGTGCTCATGGGGGCTGCTGCCAAGCATGTGTCCCTGAGGTCAGAGTTGACATCCTTAATGTCTACCTATTGGAAGCAAAATTCTTTGTCTCGAACAAACTTCCAGAGTGCCTTTGTCTTGAGTTACATTCCGTGTTCTAACCTTAGTAGTATAGGTGTAGAAGATACCTATACTACTACCTAACCAACATGGGTACAGAGGATATTCTTGAAACTGATTTTTTTTTAAAAGCCCCAAGTAGTTAGAGAGAGAGAGAGAGAGAGAGAGAGAGAGAGAGAGAGAGAGTCTAAAGATTTGAACAGCCCTATCAACCCGCTTGACCCAACTCACTTTACAAAGTGTCCCCGACAGCTGTGTGGCGCCACTCAGCAGGGTGCGCTCTGTGTTGAGAGCAAAACAGATACCAGGAAATGCAGAGCGGTGAGGCCAGAACCAGGAGACAGCTGAGAGAGCTGCAGCACAGGCTCTGCATGTGGGAGGCCCGGGTTCCCTTCTCAGCACTGCAAGGTCTCCCAGGCACTGATCCCTAAATACAGCCTGGTGTGCCCGAAACAACAGAGAGGGAACGTGGTCCCCTGCAAGTGTGTCCAAACAAAATGAAATAGAACTCAGCATCAGACCTGACCAGACCAGATCCGGAGCTCGAGTTGCTTTCTGTCCAAGTGGTCAGTCCCATCCAGCTCCTTCTTCCTCTGCTGCCATGATCCGGGGTATGTGCAGCCCAGGCCCTTGGCGTCATATCGAGGGACCAGGAAGACACGAAGAGAAGGGCAGCTCTGGCTACTTGCCCAACCTGTTACATAGACTAGCCTGTTAGCCCATACATCAGGCAGTCTCTGCCACCCGGTATCATCTGAGCTTTCTTTAGTTCTTTGAATACATTTGCTAACTGCCTTGAGGTCTTTATTAAAACATCTGAAAAACCCTGTGTGATGCTAATATTAGGGGATCAGAGGGATTTTATGGTGAGGAAGGGACTTGCCTTATGTGTGGCCAACCCTGGTTCGATCTCTGACACCCTATCTGATTCCCAAAACATTGCTCAATGACCTCCGAGCACAGAGCCAGGAGAAATCCCTGAGTACTGCTGGGTGTTGCCCCAAAACAAAAACAGAAAAAACAGAGACAGGAAAGAAAAAAAAAAATATATATATATATATCCTTGACATTGACTTCCCTCTTCCCCCACTGAGTGTGGATCTGCTTGCCGCTGAGAGTGGGCACAGCTTCTGGGAACGCACCTTCTAGCACACATGTGTGAGGAGAACCTGCGCTCCTGACCCCAGGTGTGCATATAAACACAGTCTCAGCTCCCGTTGCCTTGCCAGTCATCCTGGTGTGATTGCTGCCCATCTGACTCTCTGGCATCACAGAGAACCCTTTCCCTTACTTGTTCAGCTGGAACGTGAAACAGCAGCCAAACAACCAGGAAACGTGGAACACGGACTTTCAGCTGTCATGGGCAGTTCCATAGCTGCCACCAACCAGCAAGGTTCACACTTCTACTCCTTGTAGAAACTGATAAATATATTTGCACGGAAAATGTTTACATAGCATCAGATCATAAATATATATGTGTGTGTACATATATATATATATAACCTATACACACACATTGGTTTGGGGGCTACACCCAGCGATGCTCAGGGGTTACTCCTGGCCCCTTCGGGGACCATGTGGGATGACAGAGATGAAACTCAGGTCAGCCACATGCAAGGCACATGCCCTGCTCGCTGTTCTGTTTGCTCTGTCTTGTATCAGCTAGAGAAACAAAAACATTATGTTGTGTAATGAGATTCTAGAAACACGTGTCTCCATTACACTCAGCTCTACCATAGCTTCTTCCACTTGTGAGTTCAGTCAATATATATTTATTGAAAACAAAAGTATACAGAGTAACAATCAGTGATTCTGAGATAAAGCAGATAATTTTGCCCTTGGGGAGCTTGTAGGCTAGTGTGATGCAGCACAAACATTTAACAAGCGTTGAATGCCTCTAAAAAAAGTTATTATAGTTCAGTAAACCAGCCGAGTTTTCTGTCTTGGTGAGTCTTTCAGTTAGCATATAGTGCTCTCTGCTTGCATGCCTTTATCATTGCAGCCTTGTGTTTGTAATCCATTCGCGCCCATCATGATGAGAGTCTCTTATTTGATACTCCTCTGGTTCGTCTCAGCCTGAGGCATGGGTAGGGAGCATTACTAGTTCAGGTCTCCAGAGATGGAAACAGCAGGTCCTAGAGGCTCTGTGACTTGCCTGTCCTGACTTCACACTAGTAACAAGAGGCAGCCCCCACACGCAGCCTTGTACTGTTGCTTTTTCTGGTCAGTGGCTCTGCCTGGCCGAGATCAAACTCTGTCTGTGCTCGAGTCAGAGGATGATTGAGGAACGGCGGCCATGGTGAGCTGTGTTTCTGGACAGTGAATCATTCCCCTCTTCGATTGTTTTGGGAACATGTAATCTCACAACTAGAGATCCAGCACTCCACTAGTCGCTTCCACACCTCCCCCACAGTGGGTCACTGCCATAGAGGCACACGTTCAGAACCAACTTCGTCATCTCTGCCTTCATCACTGTCTCTGCGTTCCATCTCCCCATTCACAATCCTGCTTCCCACCAGTCTCCCGAGCCAGAAACCCGAGAAACTTTCACAGCAACAGCCTTGTCCTTTCCATCCTTCCTCCCCGCACTGGATGAGGAAGCCGACACAGTAAGAAAAGCTGCCTAGCAAAGATCTCTGCAAGCTGGGAAGGAGAGGCTCTGATTTCCTCCAGGGCACCTTATCTGTCGGAGTATCAGGGTGAATGAACCCTTAAAGGCCCCGAACGCCGAACCTTCTTAGAGTGGGACTATATCTGAACTCTCTCTTCACAGTCTTGCCTTTCCACAGCACTCTGCACCCTTGCAGATACCTCCACAGAAGTGGGGCGAGGAGGGATGAGTGAGAGAAAATGAGTCATGTCCCCAGGATGATACCATTAGTAAGTGGCTCAGCCAGGACTCGCGTTTCTGTTGGCTAAAGCCAGGGACCTCTTGACGTCCCAGGTAGTCTTAACACTGCACGGCCCACTTTCCAAGGACCTAGGCAAGTGGTGTGGGCCCTGTCCGATGTCAGTGTGAATCTAGGTAGATTTGCCCAGAGCAGTTGTTCCGTGGTAGAGCTTCAATAGCAGTACGGCATTGCTGCCACAGCATCGTTTCAAGGACTGAATGAGTCACATGAGAAGCCAGAGGACTGATGGCAGTGTTGGGTCTGTCTTTCCTTACCTCCTCATCTGAAGACAGGGCCGGGGCAGTAGTACAATGGGCAGGTCATTTGCCTTGCATGTGGCCACCCTAGGTATGATCCTGGCATCTCATATGGCCCCCTGAGCACCACCAGGAGTGAATCCTGAGAGCAGAGCCAGGAGTAAGCCCTGAGCACCATTGGGTGCGGCCCCCTACACCCCCCCCCAAAAAAAGACTCTTCTAGGAAATTCATTCCACCTGTCGAATTTACCCAGGCCACCTCATTTTAGATTCTCTTGCTGCCCCAGACAGACTTTTCTAGGAGTTCATTGCCCTGACACTTCACGAGCTCCCCGGATTTCATGTTTTCCTCTCTGCCACTCTCCTACTAGCCTTCCTATTGAGGCACTGACACAATTCTCATGAATGCCTTTCATTGACAATGACAAGGGGCAGGAGATGTGGTCACTGAAGCAGAACTCGGGTGTCACCTGCAGGGGCAGCCCTGCAACCCCCAAGCACCCAGGACCCAATCCCCAGCCATGCACAACAACACTGAGTAAGAGCTGAGACTAATACTCCCCAGCCCACGGTGTGGAGGAGAGCTCGGGCGGAGCAGAAGGGAATGTCTGAAAGAACTGCCCATCGGCACATGTGGCCTGCCCTGAGGCGGAGGTCATAGCACTCCCGCCACTGTGGCCAGCAGAGATGGATTCGATGCGGTTCCATCTGTCCCATCAGTCTTAGCAGCGAGGCCTGTGACAAACTGATAAACTTCCACATGGGTGTTTCCATGGTCACAGAATTAACTGATTGGGAGTTCTATACTCTTAATAGTTAAACAGAGTGATGCGCGTACAGAAATGAGCTGTCAGTGGCCGAGTACTGGCAGTCCCAGTAGCAGAGTTCAGCATAGACCCAGGTGAGGAGGCAGCACCCAAACTTCCAGACAGCTAAGCCAAACAGAGGCGCCCCGGTCCTCAGCACTGCATGCACCTGACACATCTGACAGAATAGGACACTTGGCACCACATGGGAGGCCGTCACGTGCAGACTGACAGATATTGCGTGCTCACCGCAGGGCTAAGTACAGTTCCATGGGCACTGCTGTGTTCTCCCCTGAGGTGTCTTGCTCTCAGGTGTCACCCGCCCTGTCCCTTGCTCGCATCCATTCTCGTGACCAGAAGATCTGTTCCTCCCCAGTGGTGTGTCTCAGATGCGGCTGGTTAGCCTCTGTAGCTACCCTGGCCCGCATGTCAGCCTTCAGGTTAATGGCCTTTTTTATGTTCATTCATTTGATTTCGTTTCCCATCGTGGTTTTGTTTATTTGTGTTTTTTTTGTTCTTTGTTTTTTTCTGTTCTCTTTTGTAAAACCGTCGTGGTTTGCCCTTCACATTCCCCAATGTTTGCACATGACAAGATGTTGCCATCCCAACATTACCTCCCACTTCACTGACCAGTGCCACTACTGACCATCTAGCGCCAGCCGCCACGGGGCCACTGCCTTCAGCGCCGCGGGACGTCGTGGCCTCCCTGGTCTCCACCCGCTTCATCAAACTGACATGGCGGACGCCTGCGTCAGACCCCCCCGGGGACAACCTCACCTACTCTGTCTTCTACACCAAGGAGGGCATTGCCAGGTAAGTGCTGCTGTGCGGGAGCCCGTCGGCCATGCCGTGGGCCAAGCCTTGTCTGGCTCAGGCTGTCACCGTGTGCAGAGCCTGCAGAGTTTTCAGTTCAGGAAACAGGAGCTCTGAGATTCATGCATTCTATGTGTAGGTCATCAGAAATCAGTGCCCCGCCTGCAGCCCGGAAATCCTTCCCTGCCTTTTTGGGATGGTCGGGGAGAAGGGGAGATAGAACTGCATTGGTGGAAGTACAGAATGGAAACCAGAGCTCTCTTTTTTTTTTTCCTTTCCCATAAGACACAGTATAGACTATGGCTTATACAGAACTTTCTGATATTTTTCGTTCTGATATTTTTCGTTAAAAGTTATATATTTTCGTTATATAAAAGTTAAGGCTTATGCAGAACCTTCTGTTTCTGTATACTGAAGTAGAATTTACCTATTAAATCATGTAATCAGAAAGAAACACTTGCCTAGTCCCCTCTGTGGCTGCCAGAACACAGCCCTGCCCTCACATCACTGATCTTTGCTTTCGTTTTACTTATTTTGTTAGAGTATGTAACCACTCTAAAATTTTATAAAATTTCTGATTTTAGTTCACGTGTTTATTATGACTGTTCATTAGAACAACCCGACATACAGTAGCAGGAAAGAAGCTTTTGCTAAGTGAATGAATTAATTCCCAACATTGAAAAAAAGAATAGGTTCTTAAAGAACTCCTGTTGAGATAATTGTCCATCTGATGAGAAAAATAGAAGTTATAGCTCTCTCTTATATGTAATATATTAAGGAGGAGATTAAGCTATTTTGAAACATAATTTGTAAGAAAAAAATAAGGACTATTAATCTTTTGAGTATGAAAGGCCTTTTAAAGAAAGACAAAAGAATTGAGATATCTTAATAGAAAAGATTTGAGAATGTTTATTACATTGCAATATAAAACTGCATGTGAGAAAATATTTATAAACAAGATCAAATGATAAAGCAAGCTAGGAAAAATGGTAATGTTTATATAGTACTTGACTGGATAGCTACATAACGGGCTTTGACAAATCATAAGTAAATGATATTCCAGGATGGGGCTGGAGTGATAGCACAGCGGGTAGGGCGTTTGCCTTGCACGCAGCTGACCCGGGTTTGATTCCCAGCATCCCATATGGTCCCCCAAGCATCGCCAGGAGTAGTTCCTAGTGCATGAACCAGGAGTGCACACCCTGTACAACGCCGGGTGTGACCCAAAAAGCAAAAAAAAAAAAAAAGATATTCCGGGATATGGTAGACATGATTCACAAAAGTGTGGAAATCTTATTAAAATTTAAAAAAGATTTTCATCACTGGCAACCTTGAAAATACAAATAATGCTTTTCACCTATCAGAGTGGCAAAAGCTTTAAGTTGATAGTATCTAGTGTTAAGTACAGGCTGGGAAGAATTCTACTCTAGGTTATTAGTGGTAGAATAAATTAAAAATACCTTTTGAAGAACGTGGTTTGATGGGACTTTTATCATTTTAATGCACATACTCTTAGTAGTTATTAGTCTGAGTGTTCTGTAGATGTACAAATACGTATATGCATAAGGTACATAGAAAACGTTCACTGTAGCATTGTAAGATTTGGAAGAAAAATAATGTAAATGTCTTTTGACAAAGAAATGGGTGCATACTTAATGTGTATATTCATAGGAAGTGTGATGCAGGAAGTTTAGAAAATACTTAGGTGTGTAAAAGCCTAGAGCTATGATTCTCAGCCAGGAAAAAAAAGTCCCCAACCCCCAGGAAACATTTGTTAATGTCTAGCAACATTTTTGATCATCGCAACCGAGGTGGGAAGGGAGTACTGGCAACAGCTGTGAGTGGGAGCCAGCGACTTCAGTGAACATCCTGCAGTGCACTGGGCAGCCCCACAACAAAGAGCACCCTAAAACCGTAGCAGTGCTGAGGTTGAGGGCGCTGACCTGGAGATTTCCGGTACAGTTGGCTTTAGTTTTAGGGGGTAGGACATGTTTTGAGAGGGGAGAGACACCAAGCCTTCCACTGATGAAAGTTATTTTGAAAGAAAACAGTTACATCTAAACTTTGTACTTGAAAGATCATGGTTGAGATAAGTTTAAACCATGAAGCTGGAATTGGGGAAAAATCTCTGTTAAATTGATAGAGGGAACAGAAAGAGGAGCAGCAAGAAAAAGAAGGAGAAAAATCCGGTTTGATTTATTTGTGTATCTGATTCCAAGGATGCAAAGTGGGGAACTGGCCTGTGGGGCAGAGGGATGGCTCTCAGGGCTGGAATGCTCCGGGCCTTGAGAGCGGGAGCCCCATTTTGGAGGCTTAGCACCTCATCCTCCCAGCCCAGCGCTTCCTTAAGTGATCCCCAAGAACAGACAAGGAGCAGCCCCTGAGCCACTGCACAGCGTGACTCAAACCCCTCCAGCTCCTCCCTCCCCTACCTGGTCAAGCTTGGCGTAACAGTTAGTAGTGCAAAATGATTGGGGAGCAGATGTTTGGAGCCACATACTGGAGTGTCAGTAAGAATTTCAGTTAAGATCAGGCCATTGTGTATCACTGGACATGCGTGTCCCATGGCTCATGAGACAATGTTACTTGAGGTACTTAAGAGCCTGCACAAGATTGGTGGGAGGGACAGAGTCCAGGAGGCCAGCCTAGCAAGTAGATCTATTAATCTGTACGTGGATATGGCCTGGATGGAAATGGGCCCAGTGACCAGCATGGACAGAATGAAGGAACTCTGGAACTTTTTTTTGTCTTTCTTTTTTTGAAGATTTTTTTTGTCTTTTATTAAGTTTATGATTTCTGATAGAAGCAATAAAATACTCAAAAATTAGGTCCTGATTATTTGTGTCGTCGGAATGCTAGTACAGCAGGCACACAGCCAGCCTTGCACAGAGCCAGTCGGGTTCCATCCCAGATATCCTGGATGGTCGGTCTCCCGAGCCTGCCAGGAGAGATTCCTAAATGCAGAATCAGGAGTAAACTCTGAGCAGCACCACGTGTGGTCCAAAACCAAAAATTGTAATCTGTCTAAAATTTTCATATGCCCAGATTTTCTCATTTGAAAAAATAAGAGTAATAAGTTATCTTCATAGATATGTAATAACAAATCAGTGTGAGAGAGGATACGCCAGCTGCTACCTGCATTTACTAAGTCCCCTGCTCCCTGCACATTCAACCACCAGGTGGCAGTCTACGCCTGTATCAGGAGCTGTCTGTCATCCTTGTGAGCCAGAGTATCTGGGGTGCTTCTTCTAACATTTTCAGACACCCCCTTTATAATACCGTTAACTTAAGCAGTAGCACTTCTCTGATATTATCTACTATAAAAGGAGTTTAAGTTATTTCAAGAGTAGCATTTTCATATGTGGACGATGAAGTCTTAAATATCTTACTATCATCCAGGAATCAGCACACTCTGTGCCCTGGGTTAGGTCCAATTTATTTTTATGGCCCAAGAGTTAAGATAGTTTTTACATTAACTGTATATTTTGTAGTTTCCTCTTGTCTAGAAATATTTACCAGGGACAAATTATACATTTATTTCTTTATTAACTTATTTAATAGTGGGGTTATTTTTAGGGCTCATTTAAAATTTTAATGTTTTCCTCCAAGTTTTATTTCCTTACTCTTTGTTTTATTTTGGGGGGCCGCATTGGCCGTACTCAGGACTTACCTGGTTTTGTGCTCTAGGATCACTCCTGGAAGTGCTCAGGGGAACATACGGGGTATTCAGAACCCCTGTCAACTGTGTGCAAGGCAGATACCCTACCTGCTGTACTATCACTCCAGCTCCACTGATCCCAATTTTAAAAGTTACTGCCTCTAATTTTATTCTTACTGCGTCTGTTACCTAAAATAGCCACAGTACTCTTCAATATTTCCTGTGAAATTTGATTCACCTGAAGTCAGCTCCAGTTTGTCTGCCTGAGAATCACCCTTGAAAACCCAGTAATTCCTTAAGCCTGTGAAGTTGATAAGTCGCAGCTGTACCTCTTGTCTCTGTCAGATGTGAGAGGAAGTTAGGGTTCTGAGAAAGATGTCAGCACAATTTAGCCAAGAGCAGCAGCCCACGGTCAGTCATGGATGTGTTGCTCTTCGGCCAGAGTCATACTGTGGTGCGAGTCCATTTGAGGAGGATCACGTGGTCTCCTCTGGACAGGCATCGCGGGGAGAATGAGGGCCACTCTGTATCGTGTGGCGATCTTCCTAACCCCTGCTGCTTATTTCCAAATGCTTCTTGGTCCAAAGGGAACGTGTTGAGAATACCAGCCGCCCGGGAGAAATGCAGGTGACCATTCAGAACCTGATGCCGGCCACCGTGTACATCTTCAGAGTCGTGGCTCAGAACAAGCACGGCTCCGGAGAGAGCTCAGCCCCGCTCCGCGTGGAAACACAACCTGAGGGTGAGTCCGGGGAACTCGCCTGCTCACCTGCAGGCAGCCCTCGATGGAGGCCTGCCCTGAGTGCGGGCATGCGTGTGCGAGCATGCATGCATGCGCACTGCACAGTGGGCACCTTGCACTCAGGGGCTCTCGGGAATTAAGGGGCAAGAAAGGGAGTTGAACGGTAGCAAATGATACAGGGCAGTGTGGTCCTGTCGATACATGTTCACATATTAGCAATACTCTTACACAAGAGCTCAGGTGCCTCTAGCATCTTTCCTCTGATCCGACCCCACAGTGTGTCTGCAATATTAAGCTACATGGGCCAGGTGTTTCATAGCTGCCCTGGGAGGGAATACCCTGATGCTTACACACCACACGGTTTAGAATCTCTTCCAGGCTTTGCGTTCGACCTGTGAACTTTCGTGCGGAATAGCACCAATTCCCGTTACATTTCTTAAGGCTTTATGCAGTTGAGAAAGAGTCACGAGATCGGTTGGTTTTCTTAAGGTCTTGTCTGTCTCAAAAAGTGGCTGGAAGCTACAGGCCTGAAATCGGAAGGTGTGGTAAAATGACAGTGCTTGCTTTCCATTCTGAGACTGCCTTCTCTGACCTTCTTCTTGAACCTATTTTAATTTGTTTCTGTTTTTTTTTTGCTTTTGGGCCACACCCAGCAATGCTCAGGGGTTACTCCGGGCTCTACACTCAGGAATCACTCCTGGCGGTGCTCCTATGGGATGCCGGGGATCGAACCCAGGTCGGCCATGTGCAAGGCAAATGCCCTCCCCGCTTTACACATGCCCGTGTTTCCTGTGCTGCTTCTCTGGTTCCCTCTGACTGTGAACTGCACAGATGTTTCTGGGTAAGGATGCACAGCAGAGAGAGATGAGGAGGCTACTTATCAGGGAAGGAAGCAGACCAGTTTCCCCGTGATACTACGGAAATAATTCAAGGGTTCGACCTTCTGCACCATGCATCAGGTCACCCACTCATCACCCACTGCTGAGTTCCTTCTAACCAGGTACCACAGGAAGGCATGTACACACAAGAGAGGAACAGAACTATAATTCTCCTCAAGAAGGAGCCGCCAGAATAGGAAGCCAGTAGCCATATCAGCAGCAGAGTTCCGAGGTGCGGGATTGGATCCCGGCGAGCAGAGGGCCATCAGAGAGGGGGTGGCCTAAAGAAGGAGCCGCGGTCTGTACAGGGCAAGAATGTGAAGTCCCAGTCAGACAGGAGCTGGAACAGCGCGTGCGGCTCCAAGCTCCATGTCCTTCTGTTCACTTTCATGTGAGTCAGACAGGAGATACCGAGGCAGGACATGAGAAACACGGGCTAGGGCCAGAGAGGTGGTACAGTGGGCACTTGACTTGCTTGCAGCCGGTCTCAGTTTGATCCCCGGCACTATATATGGTCCTCAGGCTCCGACAGGGGTGATCCCTGAGCCAGAACCAGGAGCAACAGAACCCTTGAGTACTGACAGGCTTGGCATAAGAGCAAAAAAAAAAAAAAAGAAGAAGAAGAAGAAAGAAAGAGAAGAAAGTCACTGTAAAAAGTAAGGCAAGCTCATAGGAAAGGAGGGGACCTGATTTTGGCCTCATGCATTTGACTTACTGAGTGTCTTTAAGAAAGCAAGTGCATGACCCAGACCCCAGAAGTCAGATCAGACAGTGCTCATGAAAATGAAGGCAAAGACCCCTGGATGGGATCTATCCTGGGGCTCCTGAAGTTATCTGTGTGTCTGGAAGAGCCCGGGTCTTCGGTTACCGTTTCAGACATGAGTTGAGACTGTCGGGGATGTGGCGAGGAGGACCTGGGTGAGACCAGGGGTGAGAGTAGGTGTGGGGAGGTGCCGCCTGCCTCGCCACGCGTCAGTCTTTGTGCCAGGTGGTGAAAAGGGCGAAAGGAACAGAGACTATAATATGCTTCGACACGAAAATCTAGCGGGGCCGGAGAGATGGTTCAGGGGGTCAAGCCTGGCCCTGCAAACAGCCAACCCTGGTTCGACCTGGGGGCACTGCATCTGGTCTCCAAGCACCACCCTGAGCAAGACTAGGTATAACACCTCTTACCTCCCCCCAATATTTTTTTAGTTAGAAAAAAATAGGAGTTAGTGGCAAGGGGGTCGCACTTCGTCTGGAGGTATCATCCTTTGTGGAGGGGGTCGAAGTATTGGGCCCTTGGAAAGTATGTTGCATATTTGACTTCACAAGACAGCGTCAAACTTTTCCCATTTATTATGCCACCATGCAGCTGAAATGAAAGAATTTATTAACACCTTTTTCAGGATCATATTTGCCTGCATTTATCCAGTGAATGTACTAAAAGTGGTTTTAAGGAAATCTGGGGACTGTTTTGCTTTTCTTCCCCTTTATAAGTTAGAAGAAAGTTTTCCATGGCAGCAGAAGTGTGACAAATCCCACCTGTCAGGCTGCACAGAATATGCTCTTACAGTCAGTGAATGACATGATTCATGGCTAAATAAAGAAAACAACTGTGAAAAGGACCATATTCAGGTCTCTCTGCTGGCACAACTAACAGGAGGTGGCGGGGCCGCCACTGCAGAAAGCCCGTCTGTTTGCCAGGTCCTCCCCCTCTCCTCCAGGCTAATGGATGTCGCTCAAGAAATACTAACCCCAGGGACCTATTTTTCAAATACACCAGGTCTACCCACGTGCAGGTACAGGCAACTCCCGAGGATGTGTGTTTAAATGGGACTGAGACCTCTGGAGAGGAAAGGAGCATGTGGGCCAGAGCAGTAACACTATGGGGAGGGCACGTGCCTCGCATGCGGCCAACCCAGGTTCGATCTCCAACATCCCATATGGTCCCCTGAGCACCACCAGGTGTGATTCCTGAGTGCAGAGCCAGGAGTAACCCCTGGGCACTGCCGAGTGTAGCCCAGAGACCCAAAATAAAAGAGAAAGCACGTGTGCCATGGAACCCAACAAGCAGTGAATTGGCCCAGAACCAACCATCTGTCCAGTCTTGGGCCATACATAGCCTAGGTGGGCGGTTGTGGTCATCCTCAGACAGCATTTTAGCGCTCGGGGTGGGTGCTCAGACTCCTGACCCCACCACCGCTAACTTTCCCTTCACCTGGAAGTGATTCTTGGCCTCTTAACCACATCTGTGCTTTTAAGTTTCCATGTCGTTTAGTTTATGCAAAGTTATCTGGATGTCATAAAATGCACTTAAAACACTGGACACTGGGTGGAAATCCGTAGCATGGTACTTTGAAAAGTCTATTTTACGTAATCTTGTTCCCTTCGTGTTATTCCGTGCGCACAGTCGCGTCCTTCCTAAACACGGGTCTGACCCACGCCATGCTTCCTGCTCCTCACTTTTCAGTCGCAGCCGAAGAATCTGCCGGAGAGAACCCAAACCATGTGGCAGGGCATCCGAGGCCCCTGATTGTCTGGTTCTTGTCATTCCTCTCATCCTTTCAGCATTCTCTCCCCCACACCTGTTCTCTGTCACCTGACTCGTGTCACTTTTTTTCTCATTCAGCCTCCCTGGTGACTCGGACACTCTTCCCCCTTGGCAGCTATTCTTTTTCTTTCTTTTTTTTCTTTTTCTTTCTTTTTTGGCGGGGAGTCTCCCCAGCGATGTGATTGTCAGGGCTCCGAAGGGCAGCTGGCTGTACCCAGCTCCCATGTGACCCGAAATGTTCCAGTCTCGGGGCCTGGCAGTGCAGTTAGGTCTGGGGGCTCAGCCATAGAATGTGCCCAGCCCTAGGGGCTGTCCCATCTCCCCAGCCCCCTGCCCATTCTTCTTGCCTCCCCTGCCAGAAGCTTTGCCGATCAAGCCTTCTTTTCCACCCACCCTCTTCCAGAGGTGAAGTGGGTACCCACTCTCAGATTTCATCATGACTCCTCCAGACCCTCTCGGCACTTAGGACTTTGTAAGTGTTCATATCCGACTTCCCTAGTAGACCAGGATTGTGCTGGAGCAAGGACTCTCCCTGCACCCTCATGCCTGGCAAAGGAAAACTTTTTTTCTTTTTTTTTTTCTTTTTTAAATTTTTTTAAATTGAATCACCGAGCAAAGTTCTTTTGGTGAAAATTGCTTTAATGTGCTGCTTCATCCCACGCGCCCTAAAATCAGGACTTTACACACCACAGGGAGAATTTTACAGTCTTCTTTCCCTCCCCCCCATTTGACTAAATTTGAAATGCTTCACAATTTGGGGTTTTAATTGGAGCCATGGCTGGAGCGATAGCACAGCGGGTAGGGCGTTCGCCTTACACGCGGCCAACATGGCCAACCCGAGTTCGATTCCTCCGCCCCTCTCGGAGAGCCCGGCGAGCTACCGAGAGTATCTTGCCCACACGGCAAAGCCTGGCAAGCTCCCCGTGACGTGTTCGATATGCCAGACACAGTAACAACAAAATCTCCAATGGAGACGTTACTGGGCCTGCTCGAGCAAACCGACGATCAACGGGAGGGCCTTTACCTTTTTACCTTAATTGGAGCCATAAAAAGGAAAATGAGTTTAATTATAGGCTATCCCCAAACCACCTCAAGAGAAATCCTTTGCCTGCTTAGTATTTGGTGTTTTTGAGCATGGCAAGTACAGCATCCTTTTTGAGTGCAGTTGTTGGAGGTGTTCAGAGAATTTCACTTGTCTCCTGCTGTCTTGAACTTCTCTCCACAGTCCAGCTTCCTGGCCCGGCACCTAACATCCGAGCATACGCAACTTCGCCTACCTCTATCACTGTGACGTGGGAAACTCCGCTCTCTGGCAATGGGGAAATTCAGCATTACAAGCTGTACTACATGGAGAAAGGGACGGACAAAGAGCAGGTATAATAAGATGAAGCCTTGTTTTCCAACCCACTGATGGAAATGGGAAAGTTGATACGTATTTCTAAAACCCAGTCATTGCTTGTCTTAAAAAAAAAATAAGGAAAAATAAATATGGGAAGTGAAAAGTTGACAGATCCCATTTCTTTTGGTGCCATATTCAATATGTAGTTTTGACTAGCCGGGATCTCTGAACACCAAACATTATTTCTGAGTAATTGCTTGTGATTAATCAAGTTTGACTGGATAATAACATTCTGTAAAAGGGGGATACAAATCTACATTGCGTTCCAGAATTTGTTTAATTACTTTATTGGTTTAGTTACTTTATTTATTTTGACTTAGATGTGCCCATATAACTTGTTTTTTATTTTGTTCAAGGATATTGATGTTTCTAGTCATGCCCACACCATTAACGGATTGAAAAAATACACGGAGTACAGTTTCCGAGTGGTGGCTTACAACAAGCATGGTCCCGGCGTCTCCACACAAGACGTGGCTGTCCGAACATTCTCCGACGGTAAGCCTCTCTGCACCAGGGGCAAGTCTCCGTGCTCAGAGCCTCTGGCGGCCCTGCAGCGAGATGAAGCCTGTGGGTGCACAATGACTCCGTGGAAATCTTGCTTCTCCCAGGCCTCTCACTATGTCTGAGCCTGTTTCCGTATTTGGACACTATAGCCCATGCCAACTTCACTGGGTCACTGTAAACATCCAGCGTCAGCTATGCCCGGTCCTGAATAGTTTTTCTGTTTCTGTTTTTGTTGGGGCATGTGTATAAGTCAGCACCGTTCCTTGCCCTGGCTCAGGTCATTTCAGTGTTTGCTCGACTCAGCAGTCATACATGCATGCCAAAGAAGTTTCTGATTCCTCATGTTTGGGTGATTTTCTTGTTTCTCATCAATTATTGGAGTTTGAAGCCAAGTAAGTTATGCACTCAATGCTTAAAAGTCATAGTTTTCAAACTAACTTGTTGATGGGATTGGAAAGATCATGAGAAGCGTTTTTTACAGATATTTTCAGGAGTGGAGGGATACCAGCAGGCTGAGCACACTCTTTGCATACAGGAATCCTGGGTTCAGGTCAGCACTACAAGGCTCCCCAAGCAGCCCAGACCCCCAGGCCAAGCCAGAAGTATCCCCTAAGCACCCGGGGTGTGGCCCAGAAACAACAGTTGTTTTTCGTCTACAGCAGAAAATCACAGAGTGCTTCTGTACTTGATAAATGTGTATGTTGTTTCCTAAAATCCAGTATGTGGGAAAAACGTCTTCTAAAAACTGTTGATGTTTGTGTATGGTTGCAGGGCGTCCCCCTCTCTGTGAACAGGCACACAGTAGAAGATGTAGTTTTGTTCCTTCAAGCAAGTAGTGAGGGTTATTGCCAATAAAGGAGCAAACTGATCGCATGTACGAAAACACATTTAATTTGTGTCTGATTGTATGATAGATCCATATGGAAGGGAATTTTGCGAAAGACTTTATTATTACCATTCCCTCTGTTAGGCCCTCACCTGGAGCTCTTCGGGGGCTAGTCTCAGCTGGTCGCTTGGGGCACCACTCGCTACATTGCTCAGGAACCTTGAAGTGCCAGGGATCAAATCTGATCGCATGGTCAAAACGTGTGTCAGCCTCAGGCCAGGCAATTGCTTAGCCCCTGTACTATCTCTCTAGTCCCTGCATTTATGAAAAATACTAATCTCAAAGGGAAAATGTGATGGCAGATAATTTTGGAATCTAAATTAAGAAGAATCTAGACACATAAAATAAAACATGGTATTGCATCCTAGGTCAGGGGGTGAAATGAAGGATCGGTGACACTGTTGGTGCAGTTAATGTTAGGGACAGTATTAGGCAATATTAGATAGCTATTAGATAACATAGGTAATTGTTAGGATTTCAGAACATGGTCTTGGATGAAAGTTCTATTGAAGAATGTCCTTGTTCTCAGGAGGGTTTGGACTGCTGTATTCAGGGCTCTCTCCAATGACTCAGGAGCTAAATGCACTCCCTACACTTACTTAGAGATAGGTGTATATCTATAGTGTGAGGAATAAAGTAGCTAACTAGCAAAGCGTCTCAAAGAGAGATGTCATAGAGCATTGCTTTTTGGTAAATCCAGAGTAGATAGTGTTCATCGTACCATTCCTAGCACTCTTTTCTGTGCAACTGACTTTTTCAGAGTTAAAAAAAAAACATTAGGGGAAATAAAAACAAGCCTCTAATTTTTTTTTTGTTAGAAACAACAGAAGCCAGTTGCTCAAGACTTTTGAGAACCGTTGAGGGGACAGTTAAGCTTCTGCCTGGGCCAACTGTCCCTGCACTAAGCGACCTGTGCCATCCAGGACCCGCCACAAGCAGTTTGGGGTCAGGAGAACACTGTGTCTCGGCTCCAACGCCAGCACATTTCACAGGGGTGTGCCCTGAACCAGAGCCATGGTTCTCTCCTACATGAAATCCTGTGAGAACCACAAAGTCTTGTGGCATTGTTGAAGGATGTGGGCTGGTCTTGCTGTGCAGGAGAGGACTGTCCATCTCAGTGATGGTGATCAAGGGTGGATGATGGCAAAGAAGAAAACGGGAAAGGAAGCAGCAGCACCTTTCTGGATGCGTTCGTAGCGCAGGGAGATGATCAGGACCACCCTGCACTTCTCCAGTGCACACGTGCCTTAACCATGCCTCCAGCCTCTGCTTTGGAGCCTCTGAGTTGGGGGCTGGTGTACTTCACTATCATCTGACACAGCAGTGAGCATGCCATCAGGCTCCCACTGTCCACCAGAGTGGGGTCACAGGGGGCGTGCCGTTACACATCTGGTCACCAAATGTCAGGCAGAGAGGAGAGAGAGAGATAAGGGGAATGAGAAAGGTACCTATGGAGAGAAGGGGGGGAAAAACATTTTGTGAGCAGAGAGAAGTCTAATCAGACACTCCAAATACTTCGTTGCTTGCTTGCTTATAGTCACTACAAAGCCGGCTACACCGTGATCTGGTAAGAGGACTGCATCCTCCATAGTTAAATAGTTCAGTAATTCAGTGCAGACATTTGTTGGACAAATGGTCCCCAACTTCTCACCTCTAAATGAGTGTTCTTTAATTTTAGAGTTGCTTTGGGAAGCCAGTTGGGCTCTTTACTGAATTTGATGTCACTTAAAAGTCTCTTTGCTCTGCTCAGGGACTTCCTTCTAAACCGTCTTGGGAACCCTGAAAGAGCGCCAAGCTGTGGTTTATCTGCATCGCATTTGGGACTCGTAATGACATTAGCCTTGTTTGGTTACTTGCCATATGATTGAAAATTGGTTGCAGAAAACTTGTTATTTAATATGTGCATGTGTGTAAAAGATCTAGCCAAGCACCCGATGAGTGGATGATTGAAAAAATGTGTTTTTTTTTCTTTCTGCCTATCTAGTTCCCAGTGCTGCTCCTCAGAATCTATCTTTAGAAGTAAGAAATTCAAAGGTAAATCTTTATGCTGCTCTTCCTCATTTTTATTGGTATATTCTTAGAAAGGTTTATTAAGACAGTTTTGTGGGGAAACATAGAAAGAATGACATCATTGTAATAATACATTTGCTTTTATAAGTTAGAACTTTTTTTATTTACTGCTTTGATTGAGGCAAATCTGTCCCACTGTCTGAGTCTGTCCCACTGTCTAAGGTCTATCCCACTGTCTAAGGTCTGTCCCACTCTAAGGTCTGTCCCACTGAGTCTGTCCCACTCTCTAAGGTCTGTCTCACTGCCTAAGGTCTGTCCACTGTCTGGGACAGGCAATAGGACCTGCACAGTGTTCTAACATGATTACACTTTTCGTGCATACATCATTCCAGCCCCACAGCCATCCAGAGAGCATCCACTTCCTCCACCAGTGTCTCTCCACCAGTATTAATAATCCTATGCTGTATCACTGTATCACTGTCATCCCGTTGTTCATCAATTTACTCGAGCAGGTGCCAGTAACATCTCCATTCATCCCAGCCCTGAGATTTTAGCAGCCTCTCCTTACTCGTCTTTCCCAATTCAGGGACAGGAGAATGAGACAATCCTATGCTAATAGATTATAAATTATAACTTAACTCATAATCCTCAGAGAAATGAGATGGCAAATGATATGCACTAAAGTTGACATAACAAATCGTCTTCTTTATTCCATTTACTGTTTCTCTGATGCCAAAATTTCTTTCTTGCCTTTCCTGCAAATGTATTGCAATGACTATATATATATAATGCCATTCTAGATCTTATTAGCCCTGAAGCGTGGTGACAGCAGGAAGGAAATGTTGTATAATTCTTTTGCTCCTTTGCGATGTGTCTGCCTTGGGTTGGAGATGCCTATAGGATTAGCTGCAAATGCTGTGTCCCTCCCAGTCACATTTGCAAACACTTAGGCCACTTCTGCCTCTCAGAGATCTGGAGGCCTTCCTGGGCACTGGACAATTAAAGCACTCAGTCCTTTCGAAAAATATTGTGAAACTCCTTTCCTTACTAAAAACAGCAGCAGAGGGCCAGAGTGATAGTACAGTGGGTAGGGCACTTGCCTTGCACAAAACCAACCATGGTTCCATCCCCAGGACCCCATAGAGTCCCCTGAGCACCTCCAGGAGTGTTCCCTGAGTGCAGAACTAAGAGTAACCCCTGAGCACATCCGGGGTGAGGCCCCAAACCCAAGAAAAGCAAAAAAAAAAAAAATGGAGAGCGGGAGTGCTCTGCAACAATCAGCGGTTAATTCTTGATCTCCCATTGAAGGATTTTAAAGAGAAATTGTTTAGAATCAATTGTCCCAAAGAATTTTTACGCTCAGTAACAATTTGCTTCCTAATCCATGTGCCTCTGACCTTATAGTTTTCTTCTGAAAACTTCTCTGAGACTTTCACAGGGGTTGTGAATCCGGCATGAGACTGATGAGCTTGAGAGCCCGGAGTTTACCACCCTCAGACATAATGTCCCTGTTGGGTTATGGGGTGTTTCTGTCATTAAAAAAGCAGCTCTGGGCACTCCCTTCCAGATTGCCCACACACCCAGATTTCACGCGGAGTACGTCACTCCTTCACTTTATGAGACTCTTTCTTATCTCTCTTTCCCCTCTCATATTTCAGAAGTTTCCAGAAGAAAACTAGAAGGTCAGAGGCACATGGATTAGGAAGTAACTTGTTACTCAGTGTAAAAGTTCTTTACCACCTCCACTTTGGGACAACTGATATTAAACAATTTCTGTCTAAATATAAGATAAATTATACCCATGAGGTAAATAAAACCATTTACCTCACTAAACCAAAAAAAAAAAAAGAAAGAAAGAAAAAGAAAAAAAGGTTCTGCATGTTTATTAAACTTCTTGGTGAAATTCAGTCTGACCTTCTTCTGTGGCAAAATCAGAGCTAGACACAGCATTCAGGACTTCTCTGCCATCTCTCTCCCCGCTGTCTCATCTCCTCAGAGCGTTGTCATACACTGGCAGCCACCTCCTCCGGCCACACAGAACGGGCAGGTCACTGGCTACAAGATCCGCTACCGAAAGGCGTCTCGAAAGAGCGACGTCACCGAGACCGTGGTGGCCGGGAGCCAGCTGTCCCAGCTGGTCGAAGGTAAGCTGCCCCCCACATGGCATGACCTGGACACATGCCAGGCTCGGACCTGGCAAGAGTGACCGAGAGCAGAGGGACTCTGACTGGGAGGACGCGAGGGATCGAACTCTGGCAGGCACTGTCTTCTCTGAGTGGTGTGACTAGGTTTTATTTTCAACCTGTTGCTCGTGTGCCCCTAATTCTCCTAATTTTCTTCTTTACAGTAAGCCTGTCCCTGGTCTCCTCCCTCCCACTGTCTCTCTCCTGCTTCACGTGTACGCTCACTTCCGTGTCAGAATCCACAAGTCTGTTTCCCTATGACATTGTGACACACGTGCTTGGTTTCTGTACAGCCTGTGAGGAGGTCAGCCTCTCTCTGCTGGCATATTTTGCTTAGCATGACCTCCCCTCCCCCCACACACACACAGACCACCGCCCAAATCCATCCATGATGAATCAGAGAGAGCGACCCGTCACTCCTCTCATGCCCTGTGAAGGACCATTAGCCAAACCCAGGTTCAGCCTGTCTCCTGACCAGGTCATGCATGTTCTCTCTCAGGCTCTCCCAGAGTTTCTGTTCTGTGTTGTGGGTTGGAGATTCCAGTATTTGTTAGAGGGAGGTAGAGTCAATGTCCACAGCTCTTAGAAGACCTGTTCCGTAGGTGGTATTTAAGAGCTCTGGGAATGTCTGCAGGGGTGTCTATCACAGTCTGCCGGGAGAGGCTGGGTAGTCTGAACTGGAGCTCATGCTCTGCATGTAGGATCCTCAGGTTCAGTCCCTGGCATCTTATGGTCCCCCGGGAATGCTGGAAGTGACCCCCAGTACTGCCAGGAGTGGCCCCTGAACACCTCAGGAGAGATTCCCTGTAACTGGTTAGGACAGTCAGTGTTGACCTGAGCATTTTGACACAGTAAATGATAACTGGCTGCATTGTAACTGTTAACATATGTGGGTTTTTGTTACCTTCTGCACCTTGATAAGTCACTTAGGTAGTGAAATATGGAGGGCTGCATAATAGAAGATTTATTTTATATACTTACAGACTAAGCAGCTAAGTTGCTAAATATACTTAGCCACATTTTCTATATAAAATCTTTTTACTATGTTTATGGGGTAGCTCAAACAACAGATAACCTGATAGAATTGAATCTTTGCATTCTTCTTTGGATTTCGGTGTTTTCTAAGACCCTGTCTTACTTCCTTTATTATAACTCTCTTTTGGCCTTTGCTGCCCCCAAAGTGATCACATTCCGTGATCTCTAAGATGCTTAAAAGCTAAAAAGGAAAAAAGAAAAATACCCTAGAGGGTTAGAACCATAATTCTGCAGGCAGGGCACTTACCTTGCATGTGTGTGACCAGCCTTGCATAGATCCTCGACACCCTATAGGGTTCCATCAACCCCAGGAGTAAACCCCAAGCACAGAGGCAGGAGTAAGCCCTGAGCACCACTGGGTGTAATCCCCACCCACCTCAAGCCCCCCAAAAATATTGTTAGTCTTCTGGTAACTTAACACATTTGTTTTTCTCTAAGAGTATGTGGCTGGAGCGATAGCACAGCGGGTAGGGCATTTGCCTTGCATACAGCCGACCCGGGTTCGATTCCTCCATCCCTCTCGGAGATCCCGGCAAGCTACCTAGAGTATCCCTCCCGCACAGCAAATTTGTAACATATTCGATATGTCAAAAATAGTAACAAGTCTCACAATGGAGACATTACTTGTGCCCGCTCGAGCAAATCAATGAACAACAGGAAGATAGTGGACAGTGATGAGTATGTAAATTTCAGTCTGGAACTCTTCTTTGCTGAATTTGCTTATTGCCTGTTTTGTATTAACTTTAAATGAACTCTATCAGGATGGTAAAATATGTACCAAGTTGGTGGATAAAGCATTTATTTAGTGAAAAGTTGGTAATTTTTGTTTCTCCAAAGCTCTTGCTTCAGCCTCTCTCTCTTTCTCTTTATATTTTTCTAAATTTTGGATCTCAGGTCTTGATCGGGGAACTGAGTATAATTTCCGAGTGGCTGCTCTCACCGTCAATGGCACGGGCCCAGCAACTGACTGGCTGTCTGCTGAGACGTTTGAAAGTGACTTAGATGGTAAGAACAGGAGTCAGCAGGACAGCACCGGCAAGGTATTGACTAGAACCAAGTGAAGTGAAGCTCGCTGGGATGCCACCTACGGGGAGGGGCGTATTGTTTACATTTGTAAACTTTAATGGCTGTATTTCGGGGACTCCTGCCAGGCAGTAAATGCCCCAGAACAGCGTCCTCGGCCCCATCACGCTTCAGTGCATCAGCATCCTGCTCTCCAGCCCGGGACCAGCAGCTATAACCAAGATGGTGAATTCTAGTGATTCTCGGCCTTTCTGCAACGAAATCCGGCAGGGATCTCTGGACAGCTGGCTGCAGACCACTGTCCTTGAATGTTTCTTGTGTTCGTGGCTTTTAGGGATCTGTTCTTTTACACAGAACCAGAACTAATGAAGATGTACAAGACCTTTATGTCTGTCTTTTTTTTTTTTAACCCAAGGCTAGGTAGCTAGATGATAAAATCCAAGGTTTGGCCACACCACATAAATCCTGAATTTGTTTTTAGAGTAATGGTTCCTTTTTTTTTTTAGCGTGAGCCCTTTAGCTCTCCTTGTTTATTCGTTGACTCCAGGTGGTTATGTGTGTGTACCTTTTTAAGGGACAGCACTTCAGAGGCAAAACTGTGGGGGCTATGGCTAGAGCAACACAGTACAGCAGGTAGGGCCCCTGCTTTGCATGCAACCAACTTGGGTTCGATGCTCAACATTCCGTATGGTCCTCCAGGCACCACAAGGAGTAATTCCTGAGCATGCAGCCAGGAGGAACCCCAGAGCATCATCCGGTGCGGCTCCAAAAAACAAAATAAAAATAAAATTTTAAACTGTGGGTCCTTATGCTTGGTGTACTGACTTTTAAATTAAGTAACAACGGATGCCTTTGTTACAAAAGATACTGTCTCCCATCATTTAAGTCAATTTGTCCTTTAAAAATACCAGATATTGTCCCTTACCACATCACGTGGGGAATAAGTCGTGGATGCCATTCCTGCCCTGTGATGCCTGAGCACTTGTAAAGAGCAGGTCCGCAGTTGGTGCTCTGCCTCTCTCTCTTCACCTGGCAGAATCGGCAAGCAGGCTGTGGCACCGAGAGGAATGGCCCTTGATGTCTCTTTGTCCATTTCCCAGAAGTCCTCAACATATTCCCTTCCAAATGAATGTGCGCCGCTGAGGTTATGGCTCCTGGGCCTCATTTGTTTTTTCAGAATACATAGAACAGTGCTGGAGTGATAGCACAGCGGGTAGGGCGTTCGCCTTACACGCAGCCAACATGGCCGACCCAAGTTCGATTCCTCCGCTCCTCTCGGAGAGCCCGGCAAGCTACCGAGAGTATTCGATATGCCAGACACAGTAACAACAAAGTCTCCAATGGAGACGTTACTGGGCCCGCTCGAGCAAATCGACGAACAACAGGAGGGCCTTTACCTTTTTTACCTTTACCTTTACATAGAACAGTACGCCACATTTCACCATACATCCAGATATTCTTCAGACCTGGGGGCATATTGGAAAACAGAGCCCCAGATGGTCATCAGGAGGCAGGGCACCATTCCCCAAGTGTTCTCAGGCTTGAGATCCTGGCTCCTCGGCACTCAGGCTGGAGTTTTGGAAGAAGTCTGGATCTCACCCTGCTTCTCTGTCTTCCTTCCCAGAAACCCGTGTTCCCGAAGTGCCCAGTTCTCTGCACGTCCGCCCCCTTGTCACTAGCATCGTGGTGAGCTGGACTCCACCCGAGAACCAGAACATCGTGGTCAGAGGCTACGCCATCGGGTACGGCATTGGCAGCCCCCATGCCCAGACCATCAGGGTGGATTATAAGCAGCGCTACTACACCATCGAAAATCTGGGTATGTGTGCCAAGAAGTCGCGGTGCCTGTGATTTTCTCTCAATTGTTTTGTTGAGTGATCATTTAATTCTGTCTAGACAGAAGTAGTACAAAGAGGTTCCTTCACCCATATTCCCCAGAAGTTAACATTCTTCCACAGATGCTTTATAGTTCTTTGTCTTTTTATATGTACTTATTTTCTCTCTGAACCATTTGGAGTAATTTGTAGATAAGCTTCTCTTTTGTCTATTAATACTTTAATGTTCATTTCCTAAAAACAACTACATTCTCTAACCTAAGTATCATCCTTAAAATCAGCAGCATTGAGACACTACAGCCTTTATCCCTATTAATAAATTGTCTCATTTATATTCCCTGTAATGACAAAACCCCGCAGTTTCCGGTCCAGGATTTAATTACTGTTGCATTTAATTACTAGGCCCTGATGGTTTTCTTTTGTATGGAACAGTTTCTTGGTTTCTCACTGGTAATCCTGACTGGCATTTTTGAAGGCATAGACCCTTCATGCCCCATAGCACGTCCCTCGTTGTGACTTAATTCAGTCATTTCCGCATTGCATTCAGCCTGTACATTCTTGGTAAGAGCAGTGTAGATGTTCTGTGTTCTTCGTAATACATCATATCCGGAGACAGATGAGAGATTATTATTGAATAAATAAGTTAAATTGGCAACTGCCACGTATTTCCACTATAGAAGTATTTTCCCTTCGTAATTTGTACTTCACGAGGAGATACCTTACATTTTTGGCAAATTCTTACTTCTCATCAGTTTCACTCACTAGTTTTAGCATCTTCAGTAACAGTTATTATACGGGCTCCCAGATGGTGATTTTTAAGCTCCGTGATTTCTTGTACTTGTTTTCTTGAATCCTGAAAGAATCCACGTGACAGCCAGGTGAGGTTTGGGAGATCCTGGATTTGAAGAGTTAAGGGCCTCTCAGCAGTTTGTCTCTCTGTCCCTGCCTGGACATCACCAGTCTCTCGTCACGTGGGTGGAAGAGGAATTGTTGAATTCCAGCCTCCACCTTTGCTGGACCTTTAGCACACAAAGATTCTTTGTACATATTCTGATCTCTAAGTCACCACCTGAACCGTAGACAGCTTAAGGTTCTGCCTCATGCCTGGGACTAACCACAGGCAGCTAATCTCGGACAGTTTTTCCTCTCCTGGGCATCATCCGGCCATCTCCACCTCTCCTCACCTCACAGATAACCTACGTAAAATTCCTGAAGTCTCTGTCCCCTGTCTTTCTCTGTATTAACCACCATGCTCAGGAGCACTTGAGCTTTGAAATTTTATAGCAAAGGTTTCTTCTGAGTGTTGCCATCATCTCTTTCCTGCAGACCCCAATTCTCACTACGTGATCACCCTGAAGGCATTCAACAATGTGGGCGAAGGTGTTCCCTTGTACGAGAGTGCCGTGACCAGACCCCACACAGGTAAGGCAGCAGATCGCGGGCCTCGGCGTATTTTCAGCAGCTGGGGTGGAATGTGCCACAGAGTCTGCCCCACTCGGATCTCAGCAGACGGGGGAGTCAGTGCCCTTTTTATGGTGCAGGCTTCGCCGGGAAAGTAGGCTTAGAATGTTGAGTACTTGGTTGATTCCTGTTTGTTTGGGTTTTTTTTGTTTTGTTTTGCTTCTGTGTCACATCTGATAGTACTCAGGGACTACTCCTGCGTCTGTGCTCCCCCAGCAAAGCTCAGGGGACCCTGTGGTTCTGGAGATCAAAGCAGTTGAAGGCCAGGCTCGGCCCACTGAGTTGTCAGATCTCCGTGTTTTGCTTTATAAGAAAATACCAATTTTCCTGTCTCATAAGCAATTGTTTGTAGATATGTAAGATGTGTTTCTGGTGTTTTAATGTTTTGGGGTCTAGAAGCCATCGTTTTGAGAGACTTAAAAGTAATTTTTCAGAGGCCAGAGAGTTGGTACGGGGGTTAAGGGGTTTTTCTTGCTGCAGCGACCCCAGTTCAATCCCCAGCACCACATGATCTTCTTTATGTACACTGCTAGGAGTGATCCACAAGCAGAGGTGGAAGTAGCCCCCAAGCACCACACGGAGTGGTCCAAACTCCTTCAAAGTTAATTTGGGGATGGAGAGTTCGCACAGCAGGCAAGACACCTGCCTTGCGTGCTGCTAGCCCAGGTTGGCATTGGCTCCTGTGGCACTGCCCCAGAATCACGGTTCTGACAGTCCTTGTCCTTATACTGGCATCTGTTTTGGAGAATGTGGCTGTTGCATTTAGCAGAGGGCAGCGTACAGACTTCCCTTCTGTCATATAAGTAATATGATTTCTGAAGCTTATGAAGGACTGGAGGGATAGTACAGCGGGTAGACCTGTGCTTGCCTTGCCTGTGGCCAACCCAGGTTCTATCCTCAGCATTCCATATGGTCCCTAAGCCTGCCAGGAGTGATTCCTGAGTGCAGAGCCAGGAATAACCCCTGAGCACTGCCACGTGTGCCCCCCCCAAAAAAAAAGCTTATGAAGATGATTCATTCCCATTGGTCCCAGGGTAGCCAGAGCAATTTCCCTTATGGCTCTGGAATTAATGAGTGGTTCATCTCTGGCCCTCTGATGAGAGCAGCACAGATGTTCTCTCAGCATAACCACATTCTATCCTTAAGGAAGGAAAAGTCCCTGAGTTTCTTTTGCTCTATTTAGATGTGAGCCATTTTGCTGTGACTGCTTCCAGAACACTGGCAGATCTGACCCTGACTCTGGGGCTTCAGATACCCCCAAATCAAGACAGTCTTAGTCACCACTGGCTAAGATTGAGGATTCTGACCACTAGGACCTTTACGTCTACCAACGTGCATATTTATAACCCAGAGCTTAGAAATTCAGCCACCGGCACAGAAATGTCAAAACAAACCATGAATTGCTTGTTCAGAAGTTAGATTCATGGTTTTAAAGAGTTTTCATCTAGGGCTGGAGAGATAGCACAGCGGGTAGGGAGTTTGCCTTGCATGCCGCTGACCCAGGTTTGATTCCCAGCATCCCATATGGTCCCCCGCCAGGAGTAATTCCTGAGTGCATGAGCCAGGAGTAACCCCTGTGCAATGCTGGGTGTGACCCCCCCCAAAAAAAAAGTTTTCATCTAGATTTTTTTCGTGTAATTTAAAGAAAATCCAATATGAATGTGTTAATCACTGAATTATTATTTTCAGTCTTATCAGCAGAACACAGTAGAAATAGTTAAATACTGTTTTTCTAAATATGTTCCCGTTTTTTCCCCTCCTGAAATAACATAAATATAAATGTTGAATGGTGGTCACCTATTAACTCTGGATTCTTTCTTTCTCTCCATTTCTCACCTTTCATTTCATTACATTACCCTGCATTTCCCTTTTATTTCTGTTTATGTTAAAATGCCACTTCCCGTCTTGAATTACTTTTCACCCAGACACTTCTGAAGTTGATTTATTTGTTATTAATGCCCCATACACTCCAGTGCCAGATCCCACCCCCATGATGCCTCCCGTGGGGGTCCAGGCTTCCATTCTGAGTCACGACACCATCCGGATTACCTGGGCGGACAACTCCCTGCCCAAACACCAGAAGATCACAGACTCCCGCTACTACACAGTCCGCTGGAAAACCAACATCCCGGCTAACACCAAGTACAAGGTATTGGAACCGTCACTCTGGTTGAGAAACACTAATTCTTGACGTGTTTGATTAGTTCTAACGTTTCCAATTCCTTGTTTTACAGAATGCAAATGCCACAACTTTGAGTTACTTGGTGACTGGTTTAAAACCAAATACACTCTACGAATTTTCTGTGATGGTCACCAAAGGCCGAAGGTCCAGCACATGGAGTATGACAGCCCATGGGACCACCTTTGAATTAGGTATGCATTTTGTGTCTATTATGTGTCTAGTGGCCTTCCTTCTCTCTCAAGGCATACACCCCAAGTGGAAGTCTGTGTTGACATTTGACACATCTCAAGTAGGAAATCTCCTCAACTGTTCTACTCGCCCCAGAAAGGAACTGCAGAAAGATCTGAGTGTGTGAACTGAACACAGTGAGAGATGGCAGTCAGCATTCAGTGTCTTCTTTCCAGTCATTGTACAAATCAATTTAAGAATGTACTTTATTTGCTTGTTTCTGGATGGTAACATTTTTTCTGTCTATTTAAATGAGGTCGGATTCCCTCTGCCTTTCCTAAGGTGTAGGTGACTGTGAAGGTGGGGGGGGGGGGAGACGGTCGGGAAAGTTTAAGGTAAATCATAAAGCACTGTGTAGATGTAATTGATTATTGCCATTTTTTCCTGCTTGATTGGGAAAATTCAACAGAAGACATTCCGTGCCTTCCACCGCTGACAGTGTCGTACTTGATAAAAGCCGAGCTCTGTCAGGGACCCTTGAGCTTGGATCACGCAAAGATTAATGCAGTGTCTCGGACGACTTCCCCCTGGAGCATCCTTCGAGTTTTAGTTTGTAAACATAGAGGAGGAAAGACAGAAAAGCAAATGAAAGGGAGAGCAGGCTACCTGCCTGTGGGGGTCGGTTTGTCTGTGCTCATTGTCTGCCTGCCCGTCACCTCTTGTGCAGTGGGAGTCTCTGACCTTCAGTTTCCCTCCTCTTGTCTATACAGATAGTGAGAAATTGGAGTTTGTGAAGCCTCCCTAGGTTGGCCTTGACCCTGATGTCTTTTTGTCTTCTTGCTGCCATAGTTCAGAATGCCCACAGAGAAAGATTGACTTTGAAGCCTCGCTAACCCTGTAGCTTGCTTGCCTTGCCAATTTCCAGCATTCAGATTTACTTTAATTCCAACCCATTGCGCCATTCATGGTACTGTCTGTCCCTTTTTGCTCGCACCTCACCAGGCTTCCTTCCATTAACACTGGGAAAACTCCAGAATTTTAAGATGCGACGAATCAATTTAAGAATGTACTTTACTTGCTTGTTTCCTTACGGTAACATTGAAAGTTTGCAGCGTGATCATGGAAATGCAAGATGTTCACCTGCTTTCTATTTTGTTTTCTTGTTCTGGAAACCATTTTATCTCAAATGGTTGACCGTATGTTTTCAAGTATAAACTTAACAATAACACCTACAAATTCATAAATAATTTCATCGCTTTGAGGGATTTTCAGACATCATGTTTGGTCTGGAGAACCAGTGATAACAAGGGGGGAGTTATTTGCACTTACATATATTCTGAAAAAGAGGCCAGGAAGATAGCATATGGAGCTGGAGCGTGAGCCCGACCTTGCACGAGTTCTAGGTTCCGCTTGGGGCACTGAATGCCTCCGCCTGCCCCAGCACTGCCAGGTAGGGAGCTGGTGGTACCCAATACCTCTGGGTGACCTGAGCAGCCATCAGCGCTTTCCAGTTACCATTAGGAAGTTGAGTATGAGCAATTGGGCCATATCCATCTCACCAGGCAAGCGCCAGGACCCTCAAGTACTTCTGGGGAGAAGCCCCCTCTCCCAAACAAACATTCTGCGTATTTATAGATATCTAATATCTAGGATCGAAGGGGTAGTACAACATGTAGGGTGCCTGTTACCACATATGGTCCCCCCAGTACCACCAGGAGAGACTCCTGAACACAAAGCCAGGAATAAGCATCGCTGAGTATGGCTCAAATACCAGAACAATAAAAGGCATACAATAAATATAATCCGGAGTGCAGGGAAGGTGATTCCATTTGGGGGGATTATATAAGTTCTTTTTTTTTTTCTCAGTAAAGTTGTCTATAATTTTCCATGATCTGTAACACAGGGAGAGTGATCATACAAATGCAACACCTTTTAAGGTCCTGTAGATATTTAGTGGGATTGTCCATGTAATGCCTGGCATATTCTAGTAGCATTTTGGTAGCTACAGTAGTTCCCGTTTAGTTTTCTATCCATCTGTCCTGTGTATCTTTGATGCCACCCCCGCCCACCAAACAAGTTGCTGTATTCCCTAATAGGATATTTTATCTTTCGTCTTTGCAAATGTTTTAGCGGAGTTATTTATAGGTAAGCTGTGAGTTCTTTGAAGCTGAAAAACAATCTTTTTTTATTTTGTTTTGTACCCTTTATTCTGCCTTATAAATGGAAAGCATTGAGGAAATGATGAATTAAGTTGAAGCGGACAGAATTATAGCGCGTTGTTATTTTGCAGTTCCTACTTCTCCACCCAAGGACGTGACAGTTGTGAGTAAAGAGGGGAAACCGAGGACCATCATTGTGAATTGGCAGCCACCCTCTGAAGCCAATGGCAAAATTACAGGTGAGAGGCCCTCGGAGGGGCTGGAGCAAGAGTACCACGGGCTGAGTGTTTGCCTTACACGTGACTGACCTGGGTTCAATCCCCAGCATCCCATATGGTCCCCCGAGCAACACCAGGAGTAATTCCTGAGTGCAGAGTTAGGGATAACCACTTAGCAACACCGGGTATGACCCCACAAACTTTTTTTTAAAAAAAGAAAGAAATGTCCTAAATGATACATTATACTGAATGGGGGGAGAGGGCAGTTGAAGAAGTTGTTCAGGTCCCGAAAGAACCAGTAGTTGGGTCCACTTGAACATTGATGGGCCACGGGGCTGGAGTGATAGCATAACGGGTAGGGCGTTTGCCTTGCACACAGCCGACCCGGGTTCGATTCCCAGCATCCCATATGGTCCCCCGAGCAACGCCAGGAGTAATTCCTGAGTGCAGAGCCAGGAGTAAACCTTGAGTACCACTGGGTGTGGCCAAAAAAAGAAAAGAAAAAAAGGAAAGCATTGCATGTGTCTGTTCCCTGCTCCCCACTAGTGGTCTTTGTGTCATTTCAAAGGGTTGTAGATTTCTTCTAACTTAAGATAATTAAGAATTACTTGACTTAAATTACATTTGACTTTAGTAACCAGGAATAATGCAGTGGATTTTTGCTGAGGTTATGTAGACTTGCGGTGTGGCTCTTCCGGCTTCATCCTTGGGGATTGAGTGCCCCCTAGTGGAATGTCAGGTGATCTTTCACCACATCTGGGAGGACTCGGGGACTTCCACCTCTTAAGAGATTCCCTCCCACCGAAAGAAGTCGCATTGGTCAGAGCTAAAATAGCATTCCAAGCCATTACCTTTTTTTCCCAAACTGCATTACTTTAATTGTGAGCTCTTGAAGGATACATATTCATATATTAAGATTGTGAGATAATGGAACTTTCTTTTTTATATGATTACTTAACTGCTACATACGTAACCCATAGCACAGTGGTAGGGTATTTGCCTTACACGCGGCCAACATGGCCGACCCAAGTTCGATTCCTCCGCCCCTCTCGGAGAGCCCGGCAAGCTACCGAGAGTATTGGATATGCCAGACACAGTAACAACAAAGTCTCCAATGGAGACATTACTGGGCCCGCTCGAGCAAATCGACAATCAACGGGAGGGCCTTTACCTTTACCTTTACCTTTACCTTTAAATACTACTCATTTTTCTCTTAAGTACATTTATTCAAATATGATGTCTATAAAATTGGAAACATGGCAGTGTCAAAATGGTTTTCTCTATTATTGTATTTCGTTCTGCATCTTCAGTGTATTTTTCTTTTTAAAAAAAAATAAACAACTGGGACTAGAGCAACAGCATAGCAGGTAGGATGTTTGCCATGGCACAGAGCTGACCCAGGTTCGATTCCCAGCATCCCATATGGTCCCCTGAGCACCACCACTAGTAAATCCTGAGTGTATGAGCCAGGAGTAACCCCTGTGCATCGCCGGGTGTGACCCAAAACGCAAAAAAAGTACATAAGCAACTGGCTCTGTTTATCGTATAACATCTTTGACTTCCTGATTACACAAGAAAAATAGAAATAAGATTTTTTTTTTCCCCCATGAACTCCCTTGGACAGGTTACATCATCTATTACAGCACTGACGTGAATGCAGAGATTCACGACTGGGTCATTGAACCAGTTGTGGGAAACAGGCTCACTCACCAAATCCAGGAGTTAACCCTGGACACACCATACTACTTCAAAATCCAAGCCCGGAACTCCAAAGGCATGGGGCCCATGTCCGAAGCCGTCCAGTTCAGAACGCCTAAAGGTAAACCTCCCCAGGACAGGACTTCATTCTCTTTCCTTAGTAGGGCTAGGTGTACACATGGCACTTTAGCCGCGAGACTATGGATAATAGGAGAAGTCCCAATGATGAGCTACTGGCTACAGTGTAAAGATCTGCTTCAAAATCAGCCCTCCTGCACCCACTCACCCCAACTCGTGATCCTTAGGTTGTCGCCTGCACACCTCACATGCCAGGGAAGTTTGTTCTCACCTGTTCGAGACAGAACAGTTGCAGACAGATCTAAAAATTCCCGCCAGTCAGAGCAGATCAGAGGCACACGCGTCTCATCTTCCCGAGTAAGCGCGAGTTACGGGGATGGTTCTCTTCTGATACACATAGACGTTGGTCCCGAAAGACTTACTCACGGACCTTCACCGAGAGAAGAGACAGGCAGGGCCCTTTTAAGAAAACTCTGCCCAGAAAGTGAATTTCTATTGAACCTGAGTGGGATTAGGAACAAAAGTCAGTCCAGTCAGTTCAGTATGGAAATACAGGAATGACCGGTAAGGATTTCTTTCTTGTGAGTGCTAAAAACAAGATTCAAGATTGTTTGGAAGTTTGTGGGGCTTTGTTTTTTTCCTTTGAGATTTCTGCCTGTCCCGTCTTCAAAGCTTGTGACCCTTGCTCTTGTCTTTTTCTTCCCTGTGCTTGGCCTGTTAGCGGACTCCTCTGATAAAATGCCTAATGACCAAGGTAATGAGTCACACGGCCTCTCTCTCTCTCTGCTCTCTCTCGTGCCCTATCCCTAGCTTTTTGTTTTGTTTTTGGGGGGTTTTTTGTTGTTGTTGTTGTCACTTCCCTGAAAATTAGTACCAGGTATTTTAAAACATGTACCTATTGGCCAGAGTGGAGTGGAGTTCATGTTTGCGGCATTTGGGGTATCTGAAAAGCTGGGGGATCTGTTTAGGAGCTCAGTCGTCCAGTGAGGAAACCAAGTCAGATCAGCTGCATTCCGCAGCTATGAGAGATTGGCCTTACCTTCGGGAAAAGGGGATCAGCCTGTGTGCTGTAAGACTGAAAATCTGCAAAATTCTCCAATCATGATGGGTGTTGGGACCAAGATGAGGACAACCTGCCAGCTCTCATATTTATGGCATCCTGGGTTTTATTAGTAAACCTTAATGAAACACGGTAATAATACTCAGTCTGGATACTCTGCAGTAATTTACACATGGTGATTTCTGCCTCTCAGTTAATACCTGTTTTCTCCACTAAGAATGAGCAATAAAATTAATTTTAATGGTAGTTTTCCTGGTTTAAAAACACAAACACAGAAGGGTGCACATAGAGAAATAGTGTAGGTGGAGGGCACTCCCCTTGCACATGTCAGCCTGGGTCAGATGCCCCCGCCCCGGCACCACATATGGTCCCCTGAGCCCCACCAGGAGTGATCGCCAAGCTAGTGTGGAGTCAGGAGTAAACCCTGAGCACTACTCGGTGTGGTCCAAAAAGCAAAAGGAAGGGACGGGGAGGAGAGAGAGAGAGAGAGGTTCCTAGGCGTCTGGACTTTGGTAAGGAAGGGCTCGAAGGGTACTTGGAGGCAGTGCCATGGGGAACTGCAGACATGCTTGCGGGGAGCCCCCTAAGCCCGGGTGGTGCTTTGGCTTGACCATGAGAATAGGAAAACACTTGTCCAAAGCGTGATGAATGTTGTGTGAGTCTCGTCTCACCCAACCTCACTCAAGAGTCAGAGTAGAAGTTGCCACGGCAGCACCACACGTGCTCTGGCATTTGAGATTCCTTACCCAAGTTTATTTTGATGTTTCGTTAGTTCTTGTAATGTCTTACTTTTAATTCAGAAGGGGAGAAAAAAAAGTTAGAAGTACGAAAGTTGAACCAGAGAGCTGGTTTGTTGATTAGTGGTGTCCTCGGCTGTTAAGTACACAGTCTGATTCTCTGGATGGAGCTCACTGTGGCTTGTCTGATAACTAAATACATTTAAAAGTGTTCCAGGGGCTGGAGCAATAGCACAGCAGGTAGGGCGTTTACCTTGCACGCGGCCGACCCGGGTTCAATTCCCAGCATCCCATATGGCCCCTGAGCACTGCCAGGGGTAATTTCCTGAGTGCAGAGCCAGGAGTAACCCCTGTGCATCACCGGGTGTGACCCCAAAAAGCAAAAAAAAAAAAGTTCCAGTACAACAACCAGCTAGATGAGAACAACCGAGATATTAATACATGTGTGGCATTCGGGAGGAATAATAGCAAAAGAAATCATGGGATCAGGTGATAAAGTATAAACAATAGAAAAGGGATTAGGGATTCACAAGTTAAAATTCAGAATGAACAAATACAGAAACCTTCAGGTCTTTCTTTCATTTCCTCTAGGACTGATCATTAACAGAAGGTCTGGACATGGGTGCTGCTGTTTGTACAGAAGCAACACCGAGTTGGTCCATTTCTAGCCCAGCTTTTTATCTGTAGAAGCAATTCACTTATAAATGTATTCCAAGGGTTCACGCTCTCCTCCTCTGTTAAGGGATCTGCTAGGCTCTCCCCGAGAGACATTATGCTTGTAATAATAACAGCTAACAGTTATTGAAAATTTTCTATGTGTCAAGCAGTATGTAAAATATTTTTTGGGGTAAAGTCCCATGAGGGAGAAAAGCCAAGCCCAGATGGAGCCCGCCTTGAAGTGGAGACAATCTGCCACGCACTGCGCCCTGTGCCCTCTGGGGGGCGCTGTCTCTCTGCACATCTTTCTGTGCTCTGCTCTGCTCCACAGAACAGAGGTAGTTTTTAATGGTAGTTTTTAATTTTATAACGCCTGGGGGTGAGGACCAACTGACTGCCATGGCTGGGTTGCATTTTCCAAGCCGCTTTTGCCATAAATGTCAAGAACAGAGTTCAAACCCATATTACAGATGTATTCTTTAAAAGCCCCACCACCTGATGGCTGCGTGCTCTAGGCCTGCCTCAGGTTCAGGTCAGCTGCCTTCTGACCTGGGTTAGGAGCCTGTCCTTCAGGAGCTACTGGGGGAGGACTTCATGTTGCTCCCATCATTGGTGTGACCAGGAACGGAGAGCCCAGTGCTGGCCTCCCTGCTCCTGCTTGGGGCAGCTTTGTATTTGGAAAATCAGCTTTGTACTTGGGGGGAAGGAATTCCCCAAGTCCTGCCTCCTGTGGGGCCGGCCAGGGTCACTGAGGCCTCGTTCAAGTCAACTTCGCCGATCCCTCGGCTCCTTTGCAGAGAAGTTGCTTTAACCGTGATTCCTCTGAGCATTCTTGTGCTCGCTGTGCGTGAGCTAGAGAAACAGGTCTCTTCCCTGAAGTGCGGTGACATTCTGGTCACACTCTAGGGCCAAGTCTGGGACAGGCGTGTCATCGTCAGCCTTTCAGATGCCTCACTGCCCAGGACGTGGCACCTTGCTTTGCTTTGCCAAGCAGGCTGTTCCCGCCTGCTGTTTACCTGCTCCTTCGTCTTCTCATGGGCATAGTCGATCGGGTTTTGTTCGTTTGTTTGTTCTTTGGTGGAAAACATTCATGTGCTGTGAAGTAGACGTGTCGCTCCATAGTGCTGGGTCGTTACTCACTTGACTTCTCCTCCTCCAGCCTCAGGGTCTTCGGGAAAAGGGAGTCGACTTCCAGAACTCGGATCCGACTACAGACCTCCGATGAGCGGTAAAGCTTCGCTGTGGCGTGGGGGGCCGGCGGCGGGCACGCAGCATTCTGCCTGAAACCTTGAAATGTCTTTCCTCTGTATGCCATGGGTTGTGTTGTAGCATGTGACACCATTATTAGGGGTTCGGGCACCTCCTGACAAATGTTTGCCGAAATACTACAAATCCAGTCATGTATGTATATGATCTAGAAACAAAATGGTTTCTCCGAAAATCCAGTTTAAAATCAGGTTGATATTAAACAAAGAAACTTTATCCCCACTCTTAGGAAAGAATTAGATTTTTCCTTTCAGAAATAAGCCATCTCTGGCTGGTGTGATTGTGAGCTCATAGGACACTCACCTTGCACACAGCTGACCGTTTGATCCCCAGCACCCGACATGGTCTCCCAAGCCCTTCCTGGATGGATCTCTGAGCTTTGTAAAGCCAGGAGGAAGCCCTGAGCACTGCTGGATGTGGCCCCCTGACTCACTAAGTGAGTTTAGCCATCCTCCCCAAGCAAGCCAAAGAAATGCTTTAAAATCCCAGATCTCTCCCTCCTCTACTCACTATCGTGTTTTCAGTTTGCTGACAGGCAGCTTAGAACCGGCCTGGGTTCTAAAGAAATGTGAGGCTTAGCCTGCAAAAAAGTCATGTTTAAGGTATCCGATGCTACCAGTACGTGGTGGCTTTGGTTGATGACCCACCTCCCTTCCTCTGATGGGAGAAGCCGTGGCCATGGTGGCCATGGTCGGGGGCAGTGAGGCTTAATAACTGGGCCCAGGAAATGCCTCTGGGAGGAGGGTCTCCACTCCCTGGGGCAGCTTGCTCTAGCTGAACAAGGGGCTTTCAGGCCGCTCAGCACTCAGAGCTTACACATCCTAAAACGAGAATTCCTCTGCCGAGCACTGGAGAACCACCACACCTCACCTGCCTTTCCCCCCTCCCCCCCCAGGCTGCCCGAGGGGACCCCCCCACCCCCACCCAGTAGCTCAGCACTCCGGTCGGTTTTATGTTAAGGGCAGGTGATGCTGTGCCTGCCAAGCCTGGGTTTGATCCCAGCAAGCCAGCTCCCCAGAGGGCCCGTGACAGCACAGCTCTCGCTGAGTGTCTGCATCCCAGCCAGGCTCCACCGCCGCCGCCGCCTGTGTGCACATGTCGAGTTCCCTAACGCGAACTGATGTGCCCGTTTCCCTCCCCAGGCAGCAACAGCCCACACGGGAGCCCCACGTCACCCCTGGACAGCAACATGCTCCTGGTCATTATCGTCTCTGTGGGCGTCATCACCATCGTGGCGGTCGTGATCGTGGCCGTCTTCTGCACCCGCCGCAGCACCTCTCACCAGAAGAAGTAAGGGCTCCTCATCACCCACGGGCTCTCCGGTCCTCCTTGGCGTCTAATATGGCTCCTATATTTGGAGTTACGCATGGAGTGAAAATATTTTTTAAAATGCATATTTCAACTGTGGGGGGTGGGAGGCAGGGTCATACCCTGCCATGCTCAGGGCTTACTCCTGGTCTGCACTCAGGAATTCTTCCTAGCAGTGCTCAGGGGAGCATATGGAGTGCCAGCAGTCGAACCCGGGTAGGCTGCATGCAAGACAAGTGCCTTGCCCACAGTGCTATACCTCCCGCCCCCTGCCTTTTACTATTTTTTTTATGATAATGGAATTTTTTTTTTATTAGTGAGACATCATGAGGTACAGTTGCAGACTTACAAATTTTTGTGCTTGGGTTTCAATTGTACAATGATCAAATACCCATCCCTCCACCAGTGCCCATTTCCCACTGCCTTTTACTATTTTTAAAGGAAATGCAAAATGTGTTTTGGTCAGGGTCCGGGCAGGAGAGTGGTGGGACTCCCCACGGGAAGAGCTTAATGACAGGACAGAGGTTGAGATGGGGATTGGGCACATCCACCAGGGACTTTCGGGACCAGCCACAAGGCAGGCCACTGTCCCCCTGGGGCTTCAAAGGGCAAAGGTGTCTTTGGAGAAGAGAGAGCTGCCTTTCAGAGATGTGGACAGGAGAGAATCCTGAGTCTGCTGGCGTGGTCCTGGGTGGGGGCCTGCTAGGCCTGCCCCACCGGAAACAAGGGCCAGGGTGGCAGGGGGCCACCTCTTGGAGTACTGTCCGTGAACACAGAAGCGGGGCCCAGATGCCCTCTGAGAAGGAGCACAGAGCCCAAGCTCACACGGGTCATTTTAGCCACATGCAAGGCAAGCGCCCTCCCCACGGCACTATCAGTCCAGCCCCCAGAAGCGCAGTTTTTCTCTTTTAAGCCAGAGGGTGAAATTAAGAGAGTTACTCTGCTAAAACATCCTCTTCATCCCGTGCCAGGAAACGAGCAGCTTGCAAGTCCGTGAACGGCTCCCACAAGTACAAAGGGAACTCCAAAGACGTCAAACCGCCAGACCTCTGGATCCATCACGAGAGGCTGGAGCTGAAGCCCATCGACAAGTCCCCAGACCCAAACCCCATCATGACCGACACGCCAATTCCCCGGAACTCGCAGGACATCACGCCTGTCGACAACTCCATGGACAGCAACATCCACCAGAGGCGGAACTCCTACAGAGGTGCGGCTCTCCCCCGATGGCGGGAGACTGTTTTCTTTTCAGTCATTTTCCATTCTCTCACGGTCTCTTAAGTGGGCTAAGCCTGTCGGAAGTTGAATTTAAAGAACTTGTGTTACAGATTTAGGCCAACAGCTCGCTGGCAAGGGGAGGCTCAGGCCACTTTCTAGGGCTCTCACGTGTCCCACCCAGCATCACCTTGAAATCAATCCTTTGGGGCATCCTGGCTCACATCTTCATGGTTCATTCTGTCCCTTCACATGGAGTTGGCTCTCGTGGAGGCATGGCCTGAAAATCTCGTGGCCTGAAAATCTCCGGAAGCCTGAGAATCATGTCCGCGGCTGGGCCTCCCACGGGAGCTCCAGGGCCTGCAGAAGCCCCTTGTCCCCGTTACATGGCTTGTGAACCCTGAGTCCCCCACTAGCCCGGTGTCCCCACTGAGTCCACCCAGTGGCCTGGACACAGGCGTGCTAACCTCCATGTCTGCTGTCTAGGGCATGAATCAGAAGACAGCATGTCCACACTAGCTGGGAGGCGAGGAATGCGTCCCAAGATGATGATGCCGTTTGACTCCCAGCCACCCCAGCGTAAGTTGGAACTTTCCTTCCTCCCCAGTGTCCCAGTGTTCAAGCACACCCACTGGGCCCCAGCACCGCAGATACTTGACAGAAGCGTTTGTCCACCTGCGGGCAGACATAACAGAGGGATGCCACGTTCTGTGTCCCCGCTGTTCCTGACACCCGTCTGCACGTTCAGAGTAGCCAAGCCAACAAGCCCGTGTCCCCAGTCTCCAAGGCTGGGGAAGGAAGTGCACAGTTCCTCTCGGGAGCGAGGGCTTCCGGGGGGGACCCCAGATGTCACAGTGTTCCTTCAGCATCCTGACATACACACTCAGTGTTGATAAGAACCTCTGAGATTTTTCTTTTAATTGATAGTCTCTGTACTGGAGATGAGGTTTAGTTTTACACCAAGGAGTTTTCAAAGAGATTTTTCAACTGTTGTTGATTCATGTCTTGAGTCTTAATAAACACAAGTTACCTAGCCTCAGACCCAGGAAGTTAGGACAGGGGTCGGGTACTAGTTCCATCCTGGACGCTGCACATGGTCCCCTGAGCATGGCTAGGAGTAAGCCCTGAGTACCACTGGCCAAAAAGAAAAAAGTTACCCATCCAAATAAATTTTAAAAAATAAATAAAGAAGGGGGAGTGCCAGAGATACAGGACAGTGGGAAGGGTGCTTGCCTCGCACGCAACTGACCCAGGTTGGACCCCTGGCACCACATATGGTTTCCTGAGTCCCACTAAGAGTGATCCCTGAGCACTGCTGGGTGTGGCCCCCCAAACAAAAAAATACCAAAAAAGAAATGGGCCAAACTACATATATATATATATATTTTTTTTTTCCCAAACCTCTTTGACTTTCCCCCTGGCCCTGTTTCCACTAGCTGAGAACTGGACAGAGCACAGCAGGGCTCTTGGCCCGGGGTCACTGGGTCATGGAGAGTGATGAGAAACCTCTGCCTCTCTCGCTCAACTGTGAAATGCCCGCTGGATGCTGAAATGTTTGCTCCAAGCGGAGCAGGAGGCCTTAACACCAGCATCCCTGGACTCAAGTCTGGAAAACGCCATGTCCTGAAAGAGGAACAGAACTTTTCAGTGTGACCTTCATGAGCTTCTGGATTTTTTTCTTTTCTTTTTTACTCCTCAAAGTTGCCTCATCTCAGCCATCTCCTGTCAGCGAGTGGCAGAGATTTGAGTCGTCACAGATTTTCTACATGCAGAGAGGCCTGCCATGGGCCCCTCTGACCGGAAGTCTGTGAGATGAGGGGTGTGTAGGTGGTGCGCAGGGGAGTCTGGAAGCCAGAGTGAGGGAGGGCACATTTGTTAATAGGTCAGTTCTGCCCAAAGTAATTCAGTGCTCCAGGCTCACATTGGGGGTCACGAATGCCAGGCACGTGCGCCAGTCCCTGGAACTATCTCGTTAGCCACTGGACTTGTTCATTTTAAATAAGGAAACTTTTTTTTTCCTGTGGGTGGTCAAGGGGATGGAACAGGCCTGAACACACAGTATTGCTTCACCTTATTTGCCTTGGAGTGACAAATAAGAACCTTGGATTCACTGAGCTATAACCTGGTGGTCAGACTTGTGACTTCAGGGTTTTAGTTGTCCTTTTCCACAAACTGGAATCCCCCAGAGGCTATGGCCACGTTCCCCCAGCCCAGCCCCAGGAAACACTGGCTGCTGTGGAGATGAGGAACCAGCCCGAAATCTGGCACCACTAGCGTCAGACTCGAGTTCTTGCTCAGCTGACTGGTTTGGGACCATGCTCCCGGCTGGTGCTCTCACATAATTTTACTGTATTATTTACGTAATTTGGAAAGACTGGAAGTATCTTGTAAGGGGGAAAAAAAAAACTCATTTTTTTCTTTATGAGAGTCCTCAGTAAATAGTTACACTTCCTGCTGTGTCTGCCCTTGCTTACTTCCGGAAAACACTGAGATTCTGAAGCACCCACATCTGAAAGCATGTCCCACCTACCCCCGCGCTTCTCAGAGGAGTCTGAGCCTGCCTTTCCGGGTCTGCGCCTCCAGGCCCACCTGAGCGGAGGGCTCAGAGCAGAGGCGCACTCCTACTGTGTTCCCCATTCCCAGGCCTGAGGCAGGGCACCACCTCATCCCAGGGTCCCTGAAGGTCCCTGGCCACCTGTTTGCCTGCACATGGCCAGGCCAGGGGACAGTGAAGAATACAGGGATCTGTTTCCCTGGCTGGGATTTTTCTTCACCACGGTGATGTTTAATGGCTCCACAGAAGTCTCGGAGACATCCTTAGGGACAGAAGACATTTTAATAGACCCCACAAGACTAAGTTTGACCACAGAGTTCGTGAAGCCCTTGCTCAGAGAAGAGAGATGGCCTTTATTCTCACCTGCCTCCTGGAGGGGGGAGGGGCAATAGGCAGTGGCCAATTCTCTCAGTGCTACTCTCTTCAGCACGGAACTCTCTTCCCCAGAAGAGTCTGTTCCCAACATGGGCCTTTGGTTTTGCTCCTTATCTGGGTTTTATAGTGAGGCCTCATTAAAGCAGTATTTTACCTTCCTAGATGACTGTTTGTAGGACAGAGGTGTGGAAATTTGGGTTCACCTGCTAAATGCATCAAGCTGAATCCTTCACCCACTGCAGGAAGGAAAGAGGCAATTAGGAAAGATTTGTGTACATTTTCAAATATGAGTTGGATGTGCCTTAGCTCTGAGACTGAAAACAGCATGACCTGGTGGTGTCAGGCCTGGGCTTCATGCTTTTAGTTCTGGATTGGACCTGAAGAGTTTAATTCTGTTTGTATCCTTTTGAGATATGAAAACTAATTAGACAGTTACCATTTCAGTCCATCAACATGCATGGCACGCGCTTCACTCGAAAGAGAAGGCCAAGAGAATCAGGGTTTGCTCCAGAGGGAACTCCCTTTACTTTGGCAGAAGATAAAATTAAGACCAAAATCATCATGCTTGCTTATGGATTTGTATCTGTGACATTCAGGCAGGTCCTCCAAGAGCCATGCTTCCCCGTAGAAGAATTGAAAACTAGAGGTCAATCAAACCAAAATTACATTTCAAGTTTTGGCCACAGTCCCCGCAGGAGAATCACTGCGGGCATTTTATCATGGTGCCCAGACTGTTCCCTCTGTCTGTGTGTCCACATGGGGCTGGCTACTGAGAACAAAGTGGAACTTGTGGCTGATTGTCCGAGTCCAACCAGCTGCCCAAAGAGCCGAGGGCGGGTGGCGGTGTGCGGGCGGGGGAGGAACTAAGGGGTTCGTGTGTGTCCGTGCCGCATGTTAAGCATTTCTCTGTCTTGTGTTCATTCGCAGCTGTGGTTAGTGCCCATCCCATCCATTCCCTCGATAACCCTCACCACCATTTCCACTCCAGCAGCCTCGCTTCTCCAGCCCGCAGTCATCTCTACCACCCGGGCAGCCCATGGCCCGTGGGCACGTCCATGTCCCTTTCAGACAGGGTCAGTTCCACAGGTGAGAGACGAGCGTGGAGCCCGGGGGGTGCCTTCCCTGAGTCGGCGGCTTGCTCTGCGGAGGAGGACAGGGATCACTCTTCACTGCCGTTCATTCGTGTGACTTGCCTCTGACTGACCCAGATTTCTTTCTGTGAATTCACCCCATTTTTCTCTCTCTTCATCTCTTCTGATCCCACATTCTATCACTAATAGTTGTTTTTATGAAAAACACGGGAACCCGAATCGCGTACCCCTGTCTGTTGTCCCATCAACTTGTATCCTAATTCAGTCCCAGTCTCCGTTGACTTTTGGAAAATCCTCCCATTTTGATAGGAAAACCGGCTTGAGGTGATGTTTGACTCTGGGTTCCCCGTGGTTGGGCAGGGAGGCCTCTGCAGGGCAGCTATGAGGGGGCGTCTTAGGCTGGACCTCACATTCAGACATCTGCCAAGAACCAAAGTGAGAACAGCATCAGCTCTGCCAAGGGTCTTACTGGTTCGCACATGTAAACCACACGCAGGTGCTGACGGATCACTGGAGTAGGAAGGGCCGCTCTGTACAGTGCATTACCGAAGGTCGACACTGCGAAACAAGCATGCCCCAGTGTGGAAATCCTAAGAAACAATAGGATCAAAACCATTTTAATGAAATAGTGAAGATAAAGGAAACTTTCGGAACAAATAGTATTGTTTTATACTAATTAACAGTAATTTCCATATTCTCATATTTAGGACGTCGTTCCAGGGACTGGAGACAGAGTACAGGACATAAGGTGCATGTCTTGCACACGGCTGCCCAAGATTCAGCTCCCGGCACCCTTTATGTTCCCCCGAGCCTGCCAGGAGTAACTCCTGAGCACAGAGCCAGGAGTAAGCCCTGAGCACAGCTGGGTGTGGCCCAAAAAACTTTTTTTCTCAAATCTAGTTCTAGTAATTTTGCATATAGATGTCTCCTTTTCCCCCTCTTTTAAAACTGTAAATAGATACAGTAGAACAAAGTTTGGGTGGTTCTAGGAAAGGTTTTGGGGTGAATTCAGTGTTAAAACTTGCTGCCAGAGGTCTGGATTGCCGGGAACATCCCTCTCTCCATTTATTTTTGGTCAGTGCCAAGTATCCCCTGTACCAAATGAGGATTAAGCTTGATGAAGGGATATTTAAACTCCCACAGTCACAGTCACCGACCTCCCAAACCTTTCCCTGGTTTGGAGAAAGCTGCCTCAGCTCTGAAGGCCGCGACGGGGGGCGCATCCAAGGGGAGGGATGACGCTGGGAAGCAGGACATGAATCCTGTCGGGGGGGACATGAATCCTCTGCCAGGAGGGCAAGGGAGTGTCCTGAGGAGGGGCCGGGCCTGGGCACCTGGTGGCCTCAGCGGACTCCACCCAGCGTCTGCTCTGCAGAGGGGGTGGGGCTGCCAGGCATGCCCGCCTCTCAGCCAACCGTGTCTGAAGGTTTGGCGTTGGCCTGCAGCAGACGGGAGAAAGAGGCAGAGTCACAGTGTGTATGTTTGAGGGTCGGTCCCAGGGCTCAGGAAGGGTGTGGGAGCAGTGTGGGGGGAGGTGTTGGTGCCACCATGGGTCTGGGACGTAGAGATGGTTTCTCCACCCGCCCCCTGGGGTGCCTCATCTGGATGCACACCCATGCCCACCTCCCCAGCACTCACTGGGACCCCACCACCTGACCCAGGAGCAGCACTGGCCACTGGTCATTGAACACCCTGGCCAGGGATGACTCTGGGTCTGTTCCTAGCAGTCATCGTGTCAGCCTCCTCCCAGAGCAGGACTCAGTTACGGCGGCCAGGCTGCCCCATTCACGGAGGCGACAAGCGTTGGCAGCCCTCCAAGGTCAGGCATCTCGAGGTGTGTGGCTGCCAGCTGAGCCCAGTCTCATACACGGCCGCCCGCTTGGCCACTCCTCCTTTCTCTGCCCCCAGCATCTCCTCAGCCCTCAGGCATATGCCTGGGGAGACCGGCAGGGCCCGGGAGGGCCGCACTCCCCTTCCTCTCCCCACACATGGCTCCACAGCTGTGCTGGTGATGGGCGTGGGCCAGTGGGGAGTGACCGTCCCTGCCTCCCTTGCAGGGGTAAGAAGTCACCTGGGCTGACCCCATGTTCAGAGCCAGGCTGTGAGCAGAGTGGGGAGGGCTGTGAGCCCCTGTCCCTGGGAGCCCTTAAGGACTCCGGACTGACCTGTGCCTCAGCCAGAGAGAGGGGCAGACACCGCTGCCCACGCGGAAGCTCCGTGGGTTGGCCTCGGGGTCCTCCGAAGGTCCAGGGCCCACTCCCAGCAATACTCAGCTACACCAGATGGTTTGGTTCTGGGGTCTGCAGTCCTGGGCTCACTGGAGCCACCCTGGCAGCCCTCTGGGGCCCATGTGGGTGCCCCAGCTGCCAGACTCACACTCCAGCCCTGGGGCTCCCACACCAGGAGCTGGTGGAGGCATCCCTCAGTTCCCCTGGCACAGCCCAGTGCCCAGAGCCAGGTGCTCCCACCAGCCCACAGAGCCCAGGAGTCAGGGCCCAGGTGCCTGCCCTGTCCTTTCTCACTATGTCCTCAGCATCGTGCCCTCTGCGTTACCAAGAGGGTGGGTGGCACCAAAGCCCTTAGCATGGTGCCTGGCTTCGAGGATGCTCTCCCGGGTCCACTAAGGCCCTTTCAGTTACACAGGCACTGTGACCGTTTTCCTACGTCTTTGATTCCTCAGTTCATTTTTAATTCACCCTCTTTCTGGTAGCTCTGGGCACTGCCAAGTTCATGCAGATAGCAGGCGAGACGCTCAAGTCTAGCGTTATGGGACTCCAAAGCCAGTGCTCCTGCTGCCAGCTGCTCTGCCCTCCACGACAGCTCTGCCTCTCCTCCATTCTCCACCCCTCCACCCCCTCGTCTGTCTGTCTGTCTGTCTGTCTGTCTGTCTCTCTCTCTCTCTCTCTCTCTCTCTCTCTCTCTCTCTCTCTCTTCCCCCCCCCCCCGTTTGCCCTGCACAAGGCGTCACCCTGAAGCCGTTCGCAGCCCTCTGCTCTGTCTGGTTGTCATATCTCACTCGAGCTGTGGGCACAGCCCCCCCACCCCCAGGGACATGCCTGCAGGGACGCCCAGAGCCAGTCCCTGCCAGGGCTGAGTTAAGTGACCAGCCCTGAGGACTGGATGCGATGTTGGGAGAGGCCGGTCTCCAGACAGCATTTCCTTTCGTGCCGTTCACCGCAGTAGACTCAGGAACCGTGCTCCTTGGCAAGGGCCCGGGATGGCTCAGAGAGGAGCTGGTCAGTCAAGTGTTGAGGCTCTTATTCCCGGTATTGGTCTCGGCCATGGAACTAAGCCCCACCCCCAGCTAACTCTAACACTTTGAGCTGGGCCCTTAGAAGCAGCCAGCCCCCCGGGTATGCTGGCACGCTTGTGATGCTCACCTCAGCCTTTCCCGCCACAGAGTCCGTCCGCAACACCCCCAGCACCGACACCATGCCAGCCTCCTCGTCCCAGACGTGTTGCACGGACCACCAGGACCCCGAAGGTGCTACCAGCTCTTCCTACCTGGCCAGCTCCCAGGAGGAAGACTCGGGCCAGAGTCTCCCCACGGCCCACGTCCGCCCCTCCCACCCCCTGAAGAGCTTCGCGGTGCCCGCCATCCCTCCCCCGGGACCTCCTGGCTACGACCCCGCCCTGCCCAGCACCCCATTGCTGTCCCAGCAAGGTGAGTGGCCCCTGCAGTGCCCCTGGAGGCGGATGGGGGGTAGGGTGGAGCGCTGCCTCTGGCTCGGGACTGGGGCAGCCTCCCCTCTCCTTTAAGGATCAAGGAGGCAGTTCCTCTATGAACTCCTCCCTGCAGGACTCCCTGCTGTCACCACCCCCTCCAGGAGTGTCTTGTTGGGGAAAGTGTGCACAGCTGCAGAGGCTGACCTTCGCAGCTGGAGTTCAGGGGACAAAGTGCTGTGTCCAGGTCATGAGCAACCAGCTTGTGAAATTGTCTTGCTGTGTAAGGTTGTTTTTTGGGGGGAGGGGGGAAGGGGCTGGGGTTGGGTCTTACCTGGCAATACCCAGGTGTTACTCCTGGCTCTGCATTCAGGAATCACTCCTGGTGGTGATCAGGAGACCATATGGGATGCCAGGGATCAAACCCAGGTCTACCGTATGAAAGGCAAGTGCCCTGCCCACTGTACTAACGCCCTGGCCCCTTACTGTGTAAGATTTTTATGGGCTACCATTCAGAGAAGCCAAGATTGACGGCCTCGGAATGGGGTAAATAACCCCAGCTTCACACAGCTCACCCTAGGCCCCGGCCCTCACTCCCCGCCAACCTCACCACGGTGGTTGTGGTCTGAATAATTCCATGGTTTTCACTGTGGACAGCTGGTGTCGTAAGCGGACAAGGATGTGAGGCAGCTTACTCCATCATGCTGCCTCGAGGGCGTGACTTCCCACAGGTTGTAGTGATCCATGTGAATGCTTAAATATTAGAAACTAATATTAGATCATTATTAGAAGCCAATGCCAAGGAGTTTTGTTTGGGTTTACTATAGTTCAGATAATGTCTATAATGCTGCTGACATTTATGGATTTGGTATATACAGTTTCCTTGAATTTTGGACTTTTAAAATTCATTTTAAAATATGGGGCTGGAGCACTAATACAGCAGGGAACGTGTTTGCCTGTGCTCAGCTGACCAGATTCGATCCCCGCCATCCAAACCCACAAAGAGTGATCCCAGAGCACGGAGATAGGAGTAAACCCCTGAGCACCATCGTGTGGCCCCAAAACTAAAAATAATAGTATTTTCAAAGATCAGTAAACCTACCACATTAAGATAGTGTACTTTATGAAAAACAACTTTTTAAAAACAATTACAATCATAGCAGCAGAATCTAGCACTGTGTGAACCCCTTTTCTGTCTGGCCTCTGAGAGAACTGGGTCCATGCCCACTTCTACATCCAGGCTGCTTCAGACAGTGGCCGGGTAAAGGGTAAGAAGAAAATCTGGTTTTTGAGCTACGTAGCTGGAAAGAGGAAGACTGCTTTTAAGCTCACTCTCTATTCCTGGGGGGTGGAGTGATAGGAATTGAACCCACGGGTGAACACATGCTCTGCCACTAGCTCCATTCCTGACCAGGAAGATATTGCTGATCTATTTCTTTTTGGTTTGGGAGCCTCTCCTAGCAGTACTCTGGGCTTCTCCTGGCTCTGCACTCAGGGAGAGTTCCTGGTATGTGGTACAGCATCACACTTGGCTCAGCCATGTGCCAGGCAAGGACCCAACCCTCTCTACTCTTGCTCCAGCCCTAGCATGTATTTTTACCACCCCTTCAGATAATTTCGTATCTTCATTTTTGGTGTGACAGCGAAACTCTGTAAGCTGGAGTTCCTCAGTTTGAGTTGTAATGTGGAAGTAGAAACCATATCCATTAATTCTCACTCTGTTCCACTAAAAATATATGTTTGTTCTATTCTCTGAATGCATGATCTTGAACATCACCCATTGGTCTTTGGGAAATGATCGAAGTTACACAGATCCTGTATCTGATACCGAAAAATACATTCCAGGGGCTGGAGTGATAGCACAGAGGGTAGGGCATTTGCCTTGCACGTGGCTGACCCAGGTTTGATTCCCAGCATCCCATATGGTCCCTCGAGTACCACTAGGAGTAATTCCTGAGTGCGGAGCCAGGAGTAACCCCTGTGTATCGCTGAGTGTGACCCAAAAACCAATGTGTGATATATATATGTGTGTGTATATATATATCACATATATGTATATATGTGTGTATATGTGTGTATGTGTATATACGTATTCATTATATATGCATATGTGTGTATGTATATATATACGTGTATATGTGTGTGTGTATATATATATCACTGTATCACTGTTATCCCGTTGTTCATCTGTTTGCTCGAGCAGGCACCAGTAACGTCTCCATTCGTTCAAGCCCTGAGATTTTCGCAGCCTCTCCTTTCTCATCCTTCCCAACAGTTCCGTATTGGATGCTCTTTCAGGGTAAAGGGAGTGAGACCCATTATTGTTAATTTTTTTGGCATATCAAATACGCCACGGGGAGCTTACCAGGCTCCACTGTGTGTGTGTGTGTGTGTGTGTGTGTGTGTGTGTGTGTGTGTGTGTGTGTGTATTCCATCATCTCACCAAAGTCTGTAAGTGTTAGGAGTCTTTCAGGCTCTTGGTGACAGATAATAAGTCTTTCAAATTCTGATTTTCACTTCAAAGTTGGTTTTATATGATAAAACATACTGTCCATTGTTTCCCAGACTCAGTACTTGGTTTCTCGCCCGTGTCTGTCAGATCTCCCCGTGTGCCCACCTTTCTTTGAGCTAACATCGGCGAACGTTCCGCAGTGGAGGTGACTCTCACTCCAACCCAGCGCACACCTCACAAGGGCCCTCATTACAGCAGTTACACTTTATTCTTCCTCTCCATCCTCTCTTTCCGAACATTTAAAACATGTCATCAAGACTAAAACATAAAATGTTTTCCCACTACCCCTCTGTTAAGGATGAACTGAGTGCGGGACTGGCTTTCTTTTGAAAGTCTTGGTGCTTGGTGGCCAGTGGCTTTCGCTCGGTACATCACCTTAACAGTTCTAAGGCTCCAGGTGCTTTGCCCGCTGTCTCTTTTCCACCCTCAGTGGAAAGGTAAAACAAAAAAAGTCTTCCTCCTATTAAAAGAAATCTGCCTGCAGGGGCCCTGGCGCCCCCACACGTGGAGAACTCTGAGACTCAGAGATGTTTTCCCAAGCCCTATAGAGTATTGCCTTGGCCCTGGCATTTTCTGCTCTCTGCGCCTTGTCAGGGCTGGGCCCTACACTCCATCCAGGGGGGTGTCCCTTGGCAGCCTTTGGGCCTCAGATCCCGCTGTGAGGCGTAGGGGACACTTGGACCCAACTGATGCCCGTCCCCCCCTGCACTCCCGCAGCCCTCAACCATCACCTCCACGCGGTGAAGACGGCCTCCATAGGGACGCTGGGGCGGAGCCGGCCCCCCATGCCAGTGGTGGTCCCCAGTGCCCCCGAAGTGCAGGAAACCACACGGATGCTGGAGGACTCGGAGAGTGTGAGTTCACGGCCAAAGCCTGGCTAGGGGCCCGGGATGCTACTGGGCAGGTCTGCTTGTTGGCCTGCAGGTGTGGGGTGAGCTGGGCACTGCGCAGGGGTGAATCTGCATCCTCGCACACCGCCCGGTTCTGTCTCGTGTGGCTTGTCACGCCAGCCCAGCCATGGTATTTTCCCCCTTCCTGCCCACCTCCTGCCTGCCTTTCAGTTCTGTCTTGCTGGGTTGAACTCTTCCCCAAGGTCAGCCCCGTTCCTGACCTTTCCTGCGCAGGATGCTGGAGGGGAAAGGGTCCGAGCTCTCCAAACCAAAGTCTCTTGGTTTTTCACTTCCAGCTTCGCCTCTGACATTGCTTCTTGGTGGGGCCTGAGTTCTCCCTCAAGGGAGATCCTGGGGCCCGAGAGCTGGGCAGCCAGTTGGCTGTGTCCACTACAGCGTCCAGAGCATCCACCTTTGCGGAGGCTCAGTGTGCCCGCATGGAGGGGGGGGGGGGTCACTTTGCAGAGAAAAGAAATGCTCCCCGGGGCCATATGACTGCCGTGGCGCCTGCCCCAGGCACCCGGTCTCCCACTGGCCTCCTGTCGCTGACCTCTCCCTCCCAACAGCCCCCAGCAAGCCCCGTCACGGAATTCTCTTGTCCGCAGAGCTACGAACCAGATGAGCTGACCAAAGAGATGGCCCACCTGGAAGGACTCATGAAGGACCTCAATGCCATCACGACGGCATGAGCCCTTCGGCACGGCATGACTTCCGACCCGAGTCAAGAGGCGTCTCGGGACTTAGCCTTGGCAGCAAGGACCTGTACAGAGTGCGAGAGGACCGCCCCGGGAGCACCAGCGGGCGAGCAGGCCGGGTGGCCCCAGGCCCGGACACCGCAGGGAGCCTGCTGACCCGCGCAGGACTGGGCACGGCGGGCCCAGACACGTCCAGGGAAGAGGCCAAGAAGCGCCACCGGCATTTCACTCTGTGGCCAGGCCGCGTCCTCGTGCTGCGACTGCATCGCCTTTATGGAGTGTAGACATCGGCATTTATGTACAAATTTTATTTGTGTTCTATTTTACTTTACCGAGAAGCGCTATCAGGACCCGAGGAAGTCTGGGGGGGGAGGGGGGTGGTCTCGGGTTCCGGCGGGTGGTTGGCATTTGACCACTTGTTTGAATGGAAAAGTCTTTGACTGTGTGAGTTGTTGGGGGGGGGCGGGGCTTTGTATTTTGTTTTTGTTTTTTAAATGAGTCATTGCATCCTCTACCAGCTGTCCGGTCCATCACCTGGAGGGGGGGGTGGGGAGGAAAATGTTGCATTGCTGTTTGTAAGCTTTTTTATTATTTTTTTATTCTAATTATTAAAGGCCTGCCTTTCTCCTCTCAGCACTGTGAGATTACAGATCTATTTGAATGAAATGTCACATGGCAAAGACTTGTTTTCTGTGCAGTTTCAGTATTGGGGTGGGGCAGGGAGGGGGGTGTTGGGACTAGGGATTGGAGGGGCTGCAGGAGTCCTGTGAGTGTTTCGGTCCCTGTCCTTTCTTTCAGAAGCCTGCAGAGAGCAGAAGCATCTTCATTTCCCTTTCCTGCCGTGTCCATCTCAGTGGTCACCACATTGCAACTGGAGTTTCGTTTGGATCTGGTTCGGCCCTGCTGTGCAGTCGCAGGGTCTGAGGCTCTCACTGCCCTATGGATGTCTCGGTCCAGCCCTGCTGGTCTGGGGCCAGCTGCTGCCCTCCACCCGCAGGCATGATTGGGTGAGGCAGGAACAGTCATGCCCCCCGCCTCCAACCTCACCCCTGCCTGTCGTTCTTACCACAGGGGCAGCTGGAGGGGCAAAGGGAGCTTTGTCCACACGGGCAGCCCTGCCCTCCGGGCCTCTTTCCTCCACATGCCTGAGCCCCTCCAAACCAGTGCCAGCAAGAGGGCCCCAAAGCACCCAGGAGGCCCCGCTGTCCCCAACGTTTGTTTCTAAGTAGTAAGAAGTGGGACAGTCGGAGGGACCCTGCCCTGTGCCCCCGCCCAGAGCCCCAGAGGGAGCCGGTTTCTGAGGCATGCGGAGAGGCCTTTGCCCTTGGAAAGGTGAGAGCTGGGACGGTGGCTTCACCCATTGGGTGTCACAGGACTGGCCCTCAGGCCTCACCCCCGCACCCACAGATCCACAGAAGAGGCTGCAGAGGGCACACTGGGCTCTGCGTCCAAGGGCGCCCAGAGGTTGGTGCAGCTGCCTCGCCTTTTGTCCAGAAGTCACTGCCCCATTCCAGATGTGCTCTCACATTTCTTTTCCTAGAAAGTGAACTTTGTATCCGTCATTGGGGCAGTGAGGAGTGCAGTGCTACCATCACAGGGAAGGGCGAGGGCCAGTTTCTGGACACCAGTTTCTGCCCCGAGCCCCAGACACACAGCTCGGCGCCCCCGAAACTGACCTTCCCAGAAAAATGCACGCGGTTGAGGCGTTCCCTCCCGTAACCCCTAACCCTCACCTCAGGCACCCGGAACCTGCCACAGAACTGGGGCACAGGGGTGGGGGCGGTGCTATTTTTTAATAAGATTTTCTGTGCAGAGTTGGGGGTTTTTTTTAAATGAAAAAGAAAAACTATTCTGTATTGTACCTTTTCACAACTGAATACATTTTCTTACATTTTCCTGTGATTTTTTTTTTAAACAAAACCATTGTGAGTCCTGTGATGTTTTGGTTGAGCTGCTGCCGGCGGCTTCCTGCAGGGGGGACAAATGTGTCAGCTATCTGTCGCCTGCTGGAGGGGCCGGAGGGCTGCGAGGGGTGGTTTCTGTACACACTTGTTTGGCCTTTTCTGTAGTTGATGCTGTAAACTCTATGGCTTTTTTAAAAAAGAAAAAAAAAAGAAAAAAGATTCATGTTTTTATTTGGTATTGGGAATCCAATACACTTTTTTAATCCAATCAAACGCGGTCTGGTCAGTTTTCTTCTTTCTCTGAACAGAGGATTGGGGTCCCCTGCTCCAACAGTCTCAGCCTGGCTCCATCCTGCCCTCACCGCCGGCCGGCCAGGACATGGCCGGAGCATGTCCAGCTGTCCACCGGCCTGGAGGCGAGTTGTGTCTATTGTGTCCCTGACCCTACCCCCCAGCCCGGCTGCCTGAGCAGAAGTGGCACTTGTCAGAGAAGCCACGTGACCTGGCGGCCAGGGTGGCCCTACAGACAGAGCCCCCGCGGGAGGCTGCCCCTCCCCCGTACACACACACATGCCCCTCTCCCTGTCACAGTGAAGGGCACATGTGCCAGTGTCCCTGCAGGGCTAGGACTAGCCCCTGAGCACAGCCGCGTGTCGCCCCAAAGCAAAGGGGCAACACCAGTCACTGGGGGCTAGAACCCCAGGGTCTATTCATCACAGGTTTGGGGGCTCAGCTCGGGCTCACAAGTGGCATCTGGCTGGGTCAGGAGCACACCTGGGCCTTTCAGGAACCTCCTGTCCCTTCCTGGCCTGACCCTTCATTTCGGGGGCCTCCCCTCATCCTGCTCCTGAGGGCTGCTCCGACCCCTGGGCCCCAGAACCTCCCACGGCAGCCTGTGTAACTCCTGAATCCCATCTTCCCCACTAGCAGCAGTGCTGCACTGAGCTCGGGCTGGATTTGGGGAGTCCTGGCAGTGAGGCGGGGTCGGGCCCTGGCAGTCTGCCCACCCAGAGCTCCTGCTACCCTCCGGGGACTGCGGCCCATCCAAACAGCCCGCCTGCCAGCCCCGCTCTGCCCACTAGGTGGTGCCCGCAGCCCGCGCACAGCCATGTGCGTCTTTCCCAGCCTGGATGCTCGGGACCCCCCTCCTCTCGCTCCTCTGAGTGCTGATGGGGGAGGGGCAGTTTCTAAGAGCAGCAGATGCCCTTCTGGGGGCGGGGAGTGAGTGGACGGAGACTCACGAGGATTAAGCCTGGAGTGAAGTGGAAGTTTCCTGCTCACCACTCCTGCAAACAGGGCCTCCTCGAGGGACCCACCGCCAGGACCCTCAGAGCCCAGCAACATGCTCTTGTGTCTTGGGCACGTTGAAGGCTTACAAAGACTGGGCTCCTGGCCGAGTCAGACATGACGCCTGGCCGAATCAGCCAGGGACGCCTCCCAGGCTGGTGTAGGTGAACACTCGGAGCAACACTCTCGGAAAAGGGAAATGTCCAGCTAGCCATGGTCCTGCCTGCAGTGTGGGTCAGGCAGATGAGCTCTGCCACCAGGAGCCATGGCGACCAGGATGGGGAGACCCGCTGACCATAGGAAGGGGGACACCTTGGTTTCCCAGTTGCTAACGGAGGAATTTCACCAGGGGCTGGGGCAGAGGAGGAAGACCGCTCTAAAACAGAGAAGATGAGTCACCTTTTTCATAATGTACACAAGGTGGCTGGTGCTGTGTAAAGGCCTTAAAAGTGGATGATGTGGGGTCAGAGACAGCACATCAGGTAGGGCATTTGCCTTGCACATGGCCAATCCGGGTTTGCTCTCCGGCATCCCATATGGTCCCTGAGCACCACCAGGAGTGATTCCTGGTTGCAGAGCCAGGAGTAACCCATAAGCAATGCCTGGTGAGCCCTCCCCACCCCTCCCCCTCCGAAAAAAGTGGAAGATGTTGTTCTTAAGACACATTTTTTGCTTTGGTTTGATTTTGGAGTCACACCTGGTGATGCTCAGGGCTTACTCCTGGCCCTGCACTCAGGGAACACTCCTGGCAAGGCCCAGCGAATCATATGGAGTGCCAGGGATTGAACCTAGGTGTCCCACATGCAAGGCACAAGCCCTATCCACTGCACTCTCTGACCCCTTGTTTTGTTTTAATTTGGGGTCACACCTGGCGGTGCTCAGAACTTACTCCTGGTTCTGTGGGCTCCTGGGATTATATGGGATGCTGAAGATCGAGTCAGTCCCGTGTACACAAGTGCCTTAGCTAACTGTACACGCAGTCTCTCAAGACTCCTTTTTGTTGTTTTTTGATGTTTTGGGTTTTGTTGTTTTTGTTTTCCTGGCCACACCTGGCCATACTCAGGGGTTACTCCTAGCTCCGCACATAGAAATTACTCCTGGCAGGTCTCGGGACTATATGGGATGCCAGAGATGGAACTTCAGTTGGCCACATGCAAGGCAAACGCCCTCGCCACTGTACAATCACTCCAGCCCCCTTTAAAACACTCGACTCAACTCGGGGCTTGAGTTTTAGAAATGAAGGCCTAGACCTGCAGCTCAGAAAGGGTTAAAGGGAGCTCTTGCTGTGCATCAGAGTAAGGATTTGGAATTTCCTGAAATAACCGGGAAGCAGGAGGTAGCACTGACAGCAGGTATAATTAACAAGATGGCAAAATAATGGAGGGCTATGTGGGAAGGCACCCCCAGTGGGAAATGGTCCCCCCGAGGGGCCCCAAAGGACCTTCTAAAAGGAGATGTGAGGGGTAATTTGGTGCTGTCTGTTCCCTGCGGGCCCAGGGTAAAGCCCGGACACTCCAGGGCAGCCTCACATCTGCCTGTGCACCAGCCTATGGGAGCCCCGGCTATGCCCCTAGCAGACAGACACAGCCTGGCCTGCAGGGCTCACCCATGTGGGCATTGGTCCATGAGGAGATGAATCCTAACCTGAGAGGGGATCATGGAATCCCAGGGGCATCTAGACAGAGACCTTTCAAAGGTCAAGAAATACGAATTCCATGGGGTCAGGGCCATAGCACGGCAGGGGAGGGGTGCTTGCCTTGCATGTGGCTGACCCACACTCAAACCTGACACAGCATTCAACGAGTCCCCTCCCGAGCACTGCCAGGAGTGATTCCTGAGCACAGAGTCAGGAGCAAGCCCTGAGCATTGCTGGGTGTGGCCCCCAACACACACATACACACACACACACACACACACACACACACACACAAATTTTTTTTCTCATTGTGAGTTCCAGTCAGCCTTCTCCTGATTTGAACGGCCCCTTTTGTGCTTCATTGACCTTACAGGTCTGAGTGGCACTTACTCTGCTCGTCCACTGGGGTCCCGGAACAGAGCCCTTGGATTATCTCTGTCTTCCCTGTGTCCCTGTCCCCCTGCTCCGTGCTCCGTGGCCCTGGCCATGCGATCCTGGGCCCTGTCTCCCAGGAAAGTGAACCCTGGCTGTTCCACATTCATGCCTCCATTGCCTTGCCAGGACTCGGATATTTTCAAGGATGTGCCCTTGGCCAGGCAAGTAGGAAACTTGCCTGCCTTCCACCTAGGAAGGCCCCAGCAGTTGGGAGCGGTTTTACATTCAGAGAACCAGCCCGTGTCTGAACTCTGCCACTTCTTTTGCCTCTAGTTCTCTCCCTACCTGCGGGCCCCGCCACTAGCTTTCATCTTCCCTGGGGAACTTTTGTTTGCTTTTATTTGGGGGCTATCCCCTGCGATGCTCGGGGCTCAGTTCTGGCTCTGTGCTCAGGCATCACTCCTGGAGGGCTTGGGAT